TTATTTTGATATATCACAGTGAAAGATTTATCGTCCTCTTTTTTTTTTTTTTTTTTTTTTTTTTTAAAAAAAAAAAAAAAAAAAAAAAAAAACAGCTTTGGTCTATTTCAGCTTTTAAAAGAATCCACAGAAACAAGACCCACTGATGGCCATTTCTCCTCTGATCAGGTAATCTATGCCGTTGCACTGGGTATCGGCCGATTCTGGAGAGTGGCAGGACCTTCTGCATGGTGAGTAGGGGACTGTGGAGACACATCTGTAAAGTAAGAATGACAGTGACAGGTAACGAGAGCTGGGAACACAAGAATAGAAAGTCTTTTTTTTTTTTTTGGTGTTTTTGAGACAGGCTCTCCCTGTAGCCCCAGCTGGCCTGGAACTCAGTATGTAGACCAGGCTGGCCTTGAACTCACAGAAATCCACCTGCCTCTGCCTCCAAAGTGCTGGGATTAAAGGCGTGTGCCACACCATGCCTGGCACAAGAATGGAGATCTTAAGACCCTCACAGCAGACTGTAAGAGAGACAGAGTGAGAGTCAGCGGGCTCCCTGGCATTGTAGCTATTTCCTGAAGATGAGGTGGGCATTACAACACCTTTGATATGATCCAGACACTTTCTATCAGTTCGACAAAGCATCTAGCCAGGGCCCATGGGAAGACACCAGCAAATCCTACTAGCTGCTTAAGGGGATAGGACACAGCAGAAACCAAAATTCCCTCCAAGAGCACACAAACCAGAACGCTTCTCTGAGCAGCTATGAAAAATCAAGGAGTCTTGCCTAGCAGTTAGAAAGAGTTCAGCAAATAGTTGCTAATGTTACTGAGAATGTTATGGATGCTATGAATAGTGTTTGATGGACACTCCAGACAGGCACATCTGTCAGCCTCTGCAGAGGACAATTTGAATGTGGGCAGCACAGTAGACTCAAGCAAGGGGAGCCCCACATCTTGGCGGGACCCCTTGTGGTCCTTCTACAGCTCTTCTCAGGAGTCCATGGGGCCAAAGTTACTTGCCCACCTTGAACCTTTACCCCTTTTCTGGATCATTCTCCATTGCTCCGACTTCAACCTTAGGCCAGACACTGCCTTTCCTGAGATGATCAAGGGAAGATCCAAGGAGCCAATGTCTATGTACAACCAGAAGTGGTTAAGAAGCAGCTCCTTATAAGGAGAGGGGACAGGACCTGGATACTTACGCTGGGGTGCTCACATGGGTTACCTGAGGCCCCTCTCAGTACAACACAGAGCCAAGTAGGAATAGAAGAGCAGCAGGCCACAGCTGGGGGGGTCTCTGCCTGTTGGCATTCTTGCCTCAGTTCCGCACATAGCAGAGGTAGATGTAGAACTGTACCAACGGGTGTGTCCCGTGTCCCCGAAGTCAGGCAGGGATACCAGGCATGTGTGTCCCATGTTTCTACTGCCACATGAGAGAGCCAGAGTTGATGAACTAAAAAATGAACTGCAAGCCGAGAAAATTGCAGGTATACGTGGAAAAGCATGCATGTAATACAATAAGGGGGTTAAAGGAAAGTCCTTTTCCTGTGAGGATGTTATGCACCTCTCCAAGCACACAGATGTACAGATAAAGGTAAAAATGTGGTCTGTTATCCCACCCTGTAGCCAGTGGTCTCATGGTACCTTACTGGATGAAGGCAATGCAGCCCCACCTGGGATGCATAAGGTTACTGAAACAGAAGAAGTCTGACCTTTTCAGCTACCACTAACTCTGAGTCCATCCTAGGAATGCTGGGAGTTTTGAGTAAGGGAGGACATGCTGCTTGCTTGGCCAGCTGCTTTTGCTTCTAGGGTAGAATTAGAAATACAGCAGCTAGAGACACCAGGACGGAGACAGTGAACTCAAGCGTTTGGGAGAAAATATTTTGCAAGACAGGAGAAATTATCTGAAGAAGATACAAGAAGTAAGCTTGGAAGAAATGGAAATGAAAGAGCTGCAAAGGGGAACCTGCGTTAACACTCACTGTCGGCTCACTCCCAGTCAGCCCCATGCAGATCCCAATGCATGGACAATCTCATTCCCAAAGCGGTTTTCTCTTTTCGTTTTTTTTCTTTCTTTCTTTCTTAAAGGGTCCATGTGAACTATAACGAACAATGTCTTGACTCTTACATATGGGATAGTAGATAAATTATGATTTCTCTGAAAATTATCTTAAAATTTTATTTTGACACTAGAAATTAGCCTAAATAACTCATACATAAACACAGAATCATATTTGCAATGAACAAAAATGTTCATATACTGAGTATTATATAAAAAATGTGTTATATAGGGGCTGGAGAGATGGCTCAACGGTTAAGAACACTGGTTGTTCTTGCAGAAGACCCAGGTTCAAATCCCAGCACCCACGTGGCAGCTAACAACTGTCTGAAACTCCAGTCTCAGGGGATCCAACAGCCTCTTCTGACCTCCAAGGGCATTGCACGACATGGGTGCACTTACCTACATGCAGACAATATACACATACACATAAAACAAAAATAAATTAATAAATTTTTAAATGTATTCCACCAGGTATAGTGGCACATGCCTTTAATCCCAGCACTTGAGAGGCAGAGGCAGGCAGATCTCTGTGAGCTCAAGGCCAGCCTGGTCTACATAGTGAGTTCCAGGACAGCTGGGGGGTAGGGGAGGGGGCTACAGGGAGACCCTGTCTCAAAAAGACCAAAAAAAAAATGTATTCTATAAATAGCCTGGCAAGGTAGCACACGCCTTTAATCCCAGCACTTAGGAGGCAGAGGCAGGCAGATCTTTGTGAGAAAGAGGCAAGCCTGGTCTACATAGCGAGTTCCAGACCAGCTGAGGCTACAGAAGACCCTGTCTCAAAACACTGAATAAAAAAAAAAAAGTATTGTATAAATATTGTAAAATCTCAACTAATATCTAAAAATTAGAATTAGATGCTGATATTTTATTTTTTCTTCTGTATATTATTTTATATTATATATTTTATATGGTATATATTATGTAAATTATTTTACAAAATTAACCAAAGAAAAAGAACAGCCTTGTAATTATCCCTGTCCCAGTAGAAAGTAGCTTTGGAGTCTCATATAAATTGCCAGAACCTTCAGGGCACATCTTCATTTGCCTATAAAAAACATCTTTCTGGCCGGTCATGGTGGCACATGCCTGTAGTCCTAGCACTTGGGAGGCAGAGGCAGGCAGATCTCTGTGAGTTCAAAGCCAGCCTGGTCTACATAGTGAGTTCCAGGACAGCTGGGGCTTACAGGGAGACCCTGCTTCAAAAAGACCAAAAAAAAAAAAATCTTTCTTATAAAGCATTTTCACATTATCAGGAGTCCGTTGGCTGTCAACAGAAAGGAACAGGAAAATGCTGCTTGGATCAAAGAGAAAATGATTCTCTTGGAGGCAGAAGTGATGTGAGTCCCTGTGTTGTTTTGTCCCCTCACTGTGAGTACTACTTAATGCTGACCCAGCTTTGAAACTGGCCCTGTAAGTATGAAGTCCTGCTTTCCACTTTGTATACAACCATCCCAAGCGCATACAGGAAAAAGGTACCTTCCATTTTCAGGCTTGGCAGAGTAATGACCCAAAGACCACAATCTGATTTTCCCATCAATAGTCTGAAAGCCTGCAATAAAAAGAAATTAGAAAACACTCAGATGACAGTCAAACATCTCAAAACACTCAAAACATCTTCCTCGAGAGAGATGAGCTGCCCCCTCGGTTGGAAACAGAGTTCTTTTTGGTCTTTTTTTGAGACAGGGTCTCCCTGTAGCCCCAGCTGTCCTGGAACTCATTATGTAGACCAGGCTGGTCTGGAACTCACAGAGATCTGTCTGCCTCTGCCTCCTGAGTGCTGGGATTAAAGGTGTGTATGACCACGCCCGGCTCAGAAACAAAGTTCTAAAGCTGTCCCTGCTCACTGTCCTCTGTCACTGTGCTGAGATAGGACACTGCCGCCTCAGGATGCTAAGGACAAGCTAATTCCCTTCCCCAGGGAGTCCAGTTGCAGCATTGCAGCCTCTGGCTTGGCTGAGAGGTATTCATTTCCAAAAATGGCCCACTGCTAAATTTTTACAGGAGTTAGGTAGAGAGGTTGAGAAAAAAGCCCAAGAGAAGGCCTTTGGCAAAACTGCCCTTCATTCCCTTCCTCTATATGCGTGTGTCCTTCAGGCCTACCTGTCCCCACTCTTGCCTATCACCATCACTTTATTTAGGTCTAAGAAAGTGTGCAGTGGAACAGAGGGTGTTACCCTAGGGAGGTGAGCTGCAACCCCCACAGTGACTCACAGGATAAATGCCTTGGCAGGGTCAACCCATTCCAAAGTCAGTTCTCAGTCTGGCAGACTGGAGAGTTCAGTTTTGGGCAGTGATTGAATTCTAGGTTCCACTTGACTTACATTAGTCAAGCAACACCAACAAATGGCTTTAAACTAGAATGTGCCCCAGTAGTTGTTCATAAAGAGAAACACCATTATAAAGTAAAACTATGATCAGTGTGTCATGTAACCTTTCCTTAAAGTGTGCATAAAATGCCAAATTCTGTCATGAAGGCTATGGGCTGAGCAAGACAACAGCTCACCAGGGTGGCCCTGCTGGATGGCAAGTGTTTGCCTGCAACTTCTTCTCTCTAACTTCTGAAACTATCTTCTATTTGGGCAACCATGAAGTATTAGCCTAGAATCTGTTTAGGAGAACTTTCCTTGTCTCAACATTGATTCATTATGTTTTTTTAATATTTTATTTATTATTTTTATTTTGTGTATGCATGTATTGCCTGCATGTAGGTAAGTGCACCCGTGTCGTGCAATGCCCGCAGAGGACAGAAGAGACTGTAGGATCCCCTGGAACTGGAGTTACAGACAGTTGTTAGCTGCCATGTGGGTGCTGGGATTCAAACCTGGGTCTTCTGCAAGAACAGTGTTCTTAACCACTGAGCCATCTCTCCAGCCCCTGATTCATTATGTTTTACACTTTCTCAGACACAATCTTATTTCTTTTTCTTTTTTCTTTTTGGCTTGTTTTTCCTTGTTTTTGGCTTTTGTTTTTGAGATAGGATCTCACTATGCAGCATTGGCTGGTTTCAAACTCACAGAGATCCACCTGCCTCTGCTTCCCAAGTGCTGAGATTAGAGGCATGTACCACCATGCCCAGCCTCATTTGTTTTTCTTTAAAAAAAAAAAAAGAGAGAGAGAGATTTATTTTTACCATTTCCTAATTCTGTGTGTGTGCATGGGAGGAGAGGAGGTGTTGTACATGTGTGTGCAGGTACCTATGAAGGCCATAGGTGCTAGATCCTCTAGAACTGGAGGTACAGGTGGTTATGAGCCACCCCATATAGGTGCTGGGAACCAAGCTTGGGTCCTCAGCAAGAGTAGTACATACTCATAATCGCTGAGCCATCTCTCCAGCCCACAATCTTATTTATAGGTTTTGGAACTGCAATGTATTGCCCACAAGTGCTGCCCATGCTTCTGATTGTCACACAAAAACATTCAGATATTGGCCTGCAATACCTCAATCTGCAGCTTTACAAAGAATCTTTACAAGGAACAATTCCACTCTCAGGATCCTTCTTGCAAGTCCTCAAAGAGGCAGAAAATAGGCAGGATGGAGAGATGACAAATGTCAGGCCATTTCACCTAATTATCACAATTACCTTTCAAAATGAGCATTATCTCCATTTACTCTTTAGAAAGGTTAAGTACCTTGCAGTGGAAAGGTCAGAGGGGTGGGCTAAGAGCAAACTAGACCTGCCCGGTCTCCAATGTCTGCCATCCCCTCTTCTCCAGGACACTTGCCTGCACGGGCCTGCTCTCCACACCCCACCATTCTTCCAGTTTTCCTGCTCCTCAGGAATATTTGCTGGCAACCATTGCTCAGCATAGCTAAGCAGATCTGAGACAGAGGATAATGGCTGGGTCAGTTTCCTCTGTGCTTTTATTTCACAATGGGCAAAATGGAGATTATGCTTTCCTTATATGATTATCATTGAAATTAAATAACTTATTGATACATGAAAAGCATTCAGTAAATGTTAACAATGTCAGGGAAGAATATTTAAAGTCATCTTCACTCAGACTTCAGGGCTTCTCAGAGATCTCGACTTTGAGTGATGATTGACAAAGGAGGAGGTAGCAAGAACACCTTCGGGAGTCCCTCAAGGTTATTTAACATCTGATACTCTTTCACAGGCTCTCTTGGCATTTCCCAGGACACTCTTTACAGTATTCCATGGTCTTCTTTCCTTTGGTATCATGTTAGTAGCCAATCCACATCTCTTATACAATCACATTCTTATTTCGAGTTGTCTGGTTTGAATGATCTCCCTGTACAGGGAGAATGAGAGCCATACTGCATTCATCTTGTCTAAATCTTGTAAAGAATTCCAGTGCTTTTTCCAACTGAGCTGAGCTGACAAGGCCATCTGCCTCTTCTTTCTATAAAGATTTGCACAGAGCTATTTGCAAAAGAGGAGTTCCAGCCCTTGGACCCGACCCAGGAGCTCATATTTCCCCCAGAACTCTTGGTAAGACGACTTGGGTATTGTATATGCTTGTTTAAACATCACTGGTTATAACCCAGTTTTATAAATCTACCATTTATTTCTGGTGGCATGTCATATTGGGGAAATGTTGGTTAGAATCAAGATCCCTACTTCCTCCCAGCCCTTGCTGACCCCTGGGACACATTCCCTAGGCCTTAGCTGGAGCTGTTAAAAAATAATTTCACCATGGCTCTCATCAGTGTAGAGTGGAATGTGTCCCTGTTGGCTGTCCAGCCAATTCACATAGGCCTTTCTAATAGCTCCAAGAAACATTCTGGGAGCCCCTAACACCTCACCCATAAGCATCTCTTCCCAGGCATCCTGTGTCTCTTTCTGTGAAATAAACTTTTCTGAAGGAGTTCTGATATATTTATTCATTCAGAAATATGTACACATTCACCAACACACCAGCACTGTTCTAAGTACTGAATATACAACAGGGAACAAAACTAACAAAAAGCCCTGCTTAAGTGGAGCTTGAAATCTGACAGATAAATAGATGGTAAATGATGATAGATAGATAGATAGATAGATAGATAGATAGATAGATAGATATGGATGGAGAGATGATAGATAGATAGATGATAGATGATAGATAGATAGATAGATAGATAGATAGATAGATAGATGATAGAGATAGATTGATAGATAGATAGATGATAGATAGATGATAGAGATAGATGATAGATAGATAGATAGATAGATAGATGATAGAAGATAGATGACAGATAGATTAGATAGATGATAGATAGATAGATAGATGATAGATTAGAAGATAGATAGATAGATGATTGATAGATAGATAGATAGATAGATAGATAGATAGATAGATAGATGATAGATAGATAGATGATAGATTAGAAGATAGATAGATAGATAGATAGATAGATAGATAGATAGATAGATAGATAAGCAAAATAACAGATGAAAGACAACAACCTGCTAATAAGTAAGAGGTGTTAAGGAAGAAAAAAAAATTCAAACAAAGAATGAGGCTAGGACGCAAATGGCAACAATTTTAAATGCCAGTGAAGACTTTTCTGAGGAGGCAATGTTTGAAGAAATTCGAGAAGAAAGGAAGGAACCAATCCTGAAGGCATGGAGGGAAGAACTATCCAAACAGTGGGAACAGTTGGTGCAAAGGTGCTGGAGGTCAGAGAACAGCAGGCCTGATCGAGGGCAGAGCTGAGCCAGCCCTGCCGGAGGACAGTGAGGAAGAGAAGGTCAGAAACCGGCAACAAAAGCCATGATGAATTTCCCTCTGTATGAGACACTGTGAAGGAGGTTGGGTAGAAGAGGGACACGCTCTTGCTGATGCCATATCAGGATCCTTCCAGTTGCTGAGCCAAGAACTGCCTAAATCAGGACAAATGAAAGGAAGAAGCAGTGTGTCCCATCAGGGGCTAATGCCATCCCAAAGGGTGGTGGCTAGACTAGGTTGCTGGTGAGGAGCAAGTGGATTCTAGACATATTTTGGAAGAAAGCCACCCAGCATGCTGATGGACGTGATGTGATATGATGTGATGTGATGTGATGTGATGTGATGTGATGTGATAAGACAGGGAAATCCTCCAGAGGAGCAAGTCATTTTTCCTTTTGGGTTCCCACTTTTTCAAGAAGGACTGGATATGAAGAGCTCAGTTTGGAATAAATTAAATTGAGATGCTTGTGAAATGTCTAAGAGAGGCCATCAAGAACTCCCTAAGATGTGAAGTTCGATTTTTAGAGGAAAATCCCAGGCTTAGGATATTAATTTAGGAGCAGTAGTATAAGTGTGATTATAAGACCATGAGACTGAATTATGCTAAATTAATTCATACTAGATGGTCAATGACAGGTACCAGCTTATAGTACACTTGTTCTCAAAAGGTCATCTACTTATGAGAATTCAGGCTTTAGCCAGTGGATGTTGTAAATGTCTTTCTGGGCAAGTGAGCCCCAGAACCCTGAAATCTTCCTAGAGGAACACAACCCAACTGGGAGCAGGTATATCCTGCCAGAGCAACTGCTGTGCGCACAGGTACACATGTTGTCATTTGCCCTCAGAGGATGGCTGAGAACCCAGAAAAACAAACCCTGACCTTTCATGGAGAGAGAGTTACCTGGATCTCCCCTGGAATCCTCCAGAATCTCTTGGCGCTGAAAGCAAAGCACCCCAAAGCCCCTCTCATCCTGGGCAACACGTCTCTGGGTAAGTGACTACAGAGGTTCTTGTTTCATTGTTAAGGCCAAACTTTCTATCACCTGCTTGGTTCCTGCTGTACTTTTTGGGGATGGAAGCCTCAGCCTGTAGAGTAAATCCAGTGATTGCCAAAGCTGGATGCACATATACCCTAGTAGTACACAGTGAGGGTAGGTAAAAAGTATGAGAGGGTTTTATCATTTAATTCATCTTGTCACTTATAATTTTGTTAAAGTTAAATATTGAATAGACATAAAAGAATGTTATAAAACTATCTGCAGATATATTAACAAACACACCTAGTGACTACCCACACCCACTTTAATTTTTATTTATTTTTGTTTTGTATGCATGAGTGTTTTGCCTACCTGTATGTAGTACACCCATGTGTACAATACCCACAGAGGCCAGAAGAAGATGCTGGCTCCCCTGGAACCAGAGTTACAGATGGATGTTAGCTGCCATGTGGGTGTTAGGAGCCAAAGTCAGATCCTCTGCAAGAGCAGCCAGTGCTCTTAACTACTGAGCCATCTCTCCAACTCCCCACGCCCACTTTAATAACTCAAACTTTACCAGTCACTTTAGATGCCCCCATAGCTCAGTGGTAAAATACTTGCCTAGCCTACTGAAGCCCTGGGTTTGATCCCCAGCATTCTCCCAAATTTATAATAGCTGATGCAACAGCTGGCCTTCTGTGATAAAGAAATTCTAGAAGAAATTCCTTCCTCTTCCTTCAGGAACCAAGTCTATCAGCTGAATATTGTGTTGGCTAGTGTTCAGTCTCTTCCTCATTTTTATAATCACCGTATGTATTTGAGTCCCTAACAGTATGCCATTTAGTTTTGTGTATTTTGAACATCAGACTGTCACTGTTACTGTTTTGCAATTTGCTTTGTTCAGTCAACATTCTTGACCTGAGACTCACCCCTTCTTGCTACATGGAGCTGGGCTCAGTTCCATTGTATCTGCACAAAACAGTTTGCCCCTTCAGGCTATCATGGAAAGACAGCTGTGGAAACAGTTCCAGCTGTTTCCAAGTTCCAAAAGGTATTACAAATACCTTTTATTTCAATGCTGGGGATCAAACCCAGAGCCTCATACTTTCTTGGCAAATAATATTGAGCTAGATCTCTCGTCCCACAAACATTCTTAACAGCATCCCCTGGTGCCTCTGTGTTTTAAGGGCCTCCCACGCTTTTATTTCCTATTGATATAATGTAGAGAGAACATAAATAAGTTAATACATACATTGTGCAGCGGTGTATGGTCATTGCTTTCACTTCTATACATATTTATTATCAAGATTTAAGCTCTGTAGCTGAATGTTTTTATGAGAAAATATCAATGCAAAAGAAAAGGCATTTTTCTCTTTCCTAACTGTCTCTAAAAATGCATTTCTTCCTCAGGACCAGCTATGAAAACTCAAGGACACTTTTACCCAATTCTCCTCTCTCCTGCTAGAATCCCTGAGCTGAGCATGGTGACCAAAACCAGTGATGGTAAGTTCTCAGCTCTTTCAGTAAGATGCCAATGAAGTGATCCTTGCACTAAAGTTAAACTTGTCAAGTAAGTCAGAACCTCTTCACCTGTTTCCAATTCTTCACCATTTTTCAATTGTGAATGTGCCCATTGTGAAGCTTATTATCAAAGCCTTTGGGGATGGGATATGATTCCATGATGTAGCCAAATGATACCATTTGAGACCTTGTGCTCACTTGCAGGAAGGATCCTTGCCTATGAGTGCCACAGTTCCCCAGAAACAATAAATCTACAGTGTCACTTTGATGGAGGAGAAAAGAGAGATGGTTTGGGGGTGGGGGGAAGTAGGAAAAATATCACCTGGCACCCACATGCTACTTGTCTTGTGGGAACAATGGCAAGGGGCGAAATGGGCCAAAAGCCTGCAGACAAGTACCCCTAGTCACTCACAAGTGTAGAGTTCTGTATCAGGCAAAGCAGAACTCACAAAGTAGGAAGGCCTATGCAAGGTTCGTACTCAAGAGGCATGGCAAAACTTTTAGCAAATGGACCCTTACTGTTTTCCTCTCTTTATTGCCCAAAGCACCCAGGCTTTCTTCATTGCATCAAAGCATGCCTGTAACTGCTCAGTCAGTGGCTGATAAATTTGTGTAAAAAAATTGAACGAGTGGGTCAGGACTTGAATGTGATGAAATAAAGTGGTAATGATGACTTCCTTAACTTGAGTGACAAGGAGGCTGAGAGAATTGAAAGCTTAGTCAAGAATGATGAGGGAGGGACCTGTAACAGCCGAATCTCTGGACTCTAACATCATCAGCCAAGGGTAGATTTCTCTGCAGTTCATTAAGCCCACTAAGCCCTGGTCTGACCCCAGACATTTGCAAGGGAAGGGATCACTTCTTGAGTTTTTAAGCTTGGAACAGTCCAGGTAGCATACCAGACGCAGGCAGAGAGGAAAGGAGAGAAAGAGGGAATGGAAGACTGGGTAGACTGGGATCAGAGAGCCAATCTAAGCACAAGGTTAAGGCAGGAGGTCCTTGATAATCTCCAGCTAGGCACTGGTTAGACTTCCAGTTTTCAAATTTTTCTTTGATACCACGACCCTGTCCTCGTCTTAAATAAATAAAAAAATAGGTTGTTCTGTTGAAGGAGAGGGAAGCTCCCCACCCCATCTCTGAGCTCCTTGCATGGGTCCCGAAAGGGGCCTTTCAGAACACAATTCAAGATCCTCCATATATAACTCCAATCCTTCCTTTGCAGATGAAGAACCGGAAATGCAAAAAGAAAGTGCATTTGCCAAGGTCCTCAGCCCTGCAGCTGTTCAGGTTACAATATCTACAGTTCAGAGCTCCTACTACCATTGCACCCCCCATACTACCCCCACCCCCAGGACACTTCACTACCTGTCCAGTGGCTGCTTGCACTAACTACCCAGCTTTGGTCTCTGCATCCAAAGGAAGGCCAGGCTCTGAAGTCTGAGCAATGTGCCACTGACCTGTTACTGTTAGCTAAGGCGTGAGTGCCCTCTAGTGACCATCATGAACACTTCTGTGTCCTAGAAGAGAGTGAAGGACTCTTCACCAGGGTAAACTGCCCCCAGATGCGCTCACCAGCACCACTCAGGAAACAAACTTCTGTGGCCGCTGTACTTTTGACCTAAAGGTTTATTTAAACTATATGTTCATCCACATCACATTTACAGTTGGCTCAACCTACTTTCCTTTCAAAATCTTTACTGTGAAATGCTCCAGAAAGACAGTGTATCTATCTTAAAAGCCCATGAACTCTGAGAGGCATAGGGTTAAATGAAAAACCCTAAGAATCGAAAGAGGTTGAAGACCTTTCCAACTTCATTGGAATGCTTTGTGACCAGAGGTGGAATCCGATAGAAATAACATGAGGTGGGGATGTGGACAAAGGAAGCGGCCAAACAAAAGCCCCATCTGCGTTGTTTGGTCTTGATCTGAGTTTGAATTTTTGTAGGGCCCAAGCGATCCAGCAGACAGCTGAACTGCTTTTTCCCACCTAGATCAAAAAAAAAAAAAAAAAAAAAAAAAAAAAAAGAGGTAGGGAGCAGGGTGTGGTAGCTCAAGGCTGTAATCCCAACATTGGGGGGAGGAGGCAGAAGTATGAGAAATCCAAGGTCAGCCTCAGCTACCAGAGACCCTGTCTCAAAACAAAGAAACAAAAACCAAAAGAGGCAGTGAGTGATAAGTGACACCAGTCTCCTGAAACTTCTGAACTTAGTAATAACAATAAGATTGTGTGTGTGTGTGTGTGTGTGTGTGTGTGTGTGTGTGTGTGTGTGTGTGTGTTCCCTGCTAATAAAGTCTAGGGTCTTCTCCTCAGGGAGAAACAATTGTCTCACAGGGGAAAGGGATAGTTTTTCTAGGCTCCTGTAGAGATAAGGTCAGGACTTTTTTTGTTGTTTGAGTTTTAGCTTGTTGTTGGAGAAGGTGTTTGTTTTGATTTGGTTTTATTTGAGTCTCACTATGTAGCCCAAGCTGGTCTCAAACTCACGATCTCCTTGTCCTGGCTTCCCAAGTGCTGGGATTACAGGTATGTACCACCATGTCTGTCTTAAGGTCAGAGCAGTTTTGCAAAATCTAAAGACCAAGCTCCTGTGGTGATGTGGACTCAACAGGCCACAACTGTTGGATCTGGAGTGGGAATGGATCCCATTAGAGTACCTTTTATGCGATGCTGAAGGAGACAGGGCAAGGATTCCAGGCTGACATTTTGGAAAGGAGGAACAATTTGGTCACAAATTTTAGGCAAGATTTGCTTGGCATTCAGGCAATAAAGAAGAGCTAGTCGTTTCCTCATCTATGAAGTTAGCTGAGGGTAGTGAAGCAGTTAGGGGTGTGATGGGGGTGGGTTGGCAAGGATGAGGAAGCACTGTGCCAAGTACATTTAATATTGATAAAATACAGCTATGTGGGAGTATGGAACACGCTCAAAGATGAATCAACAAGAGAAAAATCAAATCCCAACCCAAAACCAGATAAAAACACTCACTGCAGTTATCTAACCCTACAGTGAGGTCAACTCAAACCCTGTATGCTGCTAAGGTTTCATTATGCAAACTCAAGAGAGGTGAAAGACTTATTTTAGTAGGTCACTCCCAGTGGTTGGGTGACTATAGTCCTTTCCAATATTGATTTGAACCCTTTGCAGCCTACTGTAGAGAGCCCTGAGGTTCTTGCTCATATCCTGCCAATCCTCACAAGCTTAGTTCCAACGGTTGTCAAAATGTTGGATTCCTTTCGGCCGGTTGGCAGGTAATATTGTCCTAGACCTCCTGGATGCTCACCCATCGCTCCCTTCACCCCTCCCTATGAGCCACCAACACCCCTCACCCAATACCATATATGTTCATTTTGATTAGCCAGTTCACGCATGGAACTGACTCTTAAAGATTATGATTATCAGAGTTGGAAAATATGCATCAAAACATTACTGATTTTATTCCTGTGTGTGTCATCTTGGCTTAAATTCTTGAGCTGTTATATTTTGAAATGTTTTCATACTAGAATGTACAAAAAATACAGAGTGAGGGTAATTTACAGAAGGAGGCAAATACACAGACTATTTCATTTCTTTATATGGGAAGGTAAATAGAAACTTGTTTTATACCCATTACTTAGGTTGATATATATATAGTTCGTATATTTTTAGTTAAAAGTCCTAAGAATTAGGTTCTCTAGGAGAGTATTTGAGGTAGAGGTACTGGGTCAGATTCAAATTGGCATCACCATAAACCCTGTGTATTAGGGTTTTTATTTGTCTGCACAAATCCTAGAAAATAAAATCTCTTTCCTTACCAAAAACATAATTGTTGATTTTAGACCATGGCCCAAGAAATGAAACGACTTTTGCCATTGTGTTACCCATCAGATTTATTCTCTTTAACTACTATAGTAACCAAGGCACTCAGAAGAGTCATGAAAGGTTCTAGTAGGGCCTACCACTGGCATGTCGTCACTGTCATTCCTTCTCTCTAGTCTCTATTTCTTCATGTCTGTCAAAGAAGAGTGTGACCCCAGGGCCCCATCCCCAACTACACAGAAAAACTCCTGGGAGCTTTTTTAAATCCCTATGCTCAAGGCTGGGGAGATGGCTCAGCTTTGCAAGCATAAGGACCTAAATTTGATCCCCAGAACCCATATACAAAAGCTGAGCACACTAGGGCACACTTGTAATCACAGTACTAGGAAGGAGAGATAGGCAGATCCTTGGGGCTCACTGCCTGGCCAGCCAGCCTAACCTACTTGATGAGCTCACTGAGTCTTTGACTTAAAAAAAAAAAAAAAAAAAAAAAGTGGATGGTACCTGAGGCTGTCCTCAGAGCTACACACACACACATATGTACACATATACACACAAGACCCAACGCCCAGAAGCTGAGTTAGTCAATCTTGAAGCCCCTAGTGATCCTCTGAGCAGCTATCACACTAGGCAACTGCAAAGTTCATGGTGCCATGACAACAGTTCTGCTCCTCCCATGCCGCCAGTAAAAACGACTTGCTTTCCAGGACTGACCATTGGCGCCGGCTGCAGCCTGGCTCAGGTGAAGGACATCCTGGCTGAGAGCATCTCTGAGCTCCCAGAGGAGAAAACTGAGACCTACAGAGCCCTCCTGAAGCACCTACGGAGCCTGGCAGGCCAGCAGATCCAGAACATGGCAGTAAGTGCCTTGCTGTCAATCATTGGGCACACACTTGCTTTTTGGTCTCACTGAAATGTCAGGATTCTGGCAGAATCAGTATGCCCAAAGGTCTCAACAGATTGAAATGACAGGTCCATAAATAAATATTTCAGGTTAACAAATGTTATTCAATAAAATTCTTAAAGAAAATTCTAGGTGAACGTCAACACAGTAGCTCAGCAACAACACAGGTAAAAAAGGGTGTCATGGCTTTGCTAATTTTGTGACAAGCCTGTCAAAGAGCCTGATCTCATCTTAGACTGTGTTAACAGAAGTAGAATATGCAAAGCAAGAAGGGCAGCCTTTCCTGCACTATTCAGACCACAGGTGGACAGTCGCAATCGTAAGAAAGGAAACGAGGCATGGATGGGTTTTCCAAGTACACGTTTTCCTTCTCCTGCATCCTTGGAGCCTGGGAAGTCAGCAGAGGACTTGAAAAAGTTTCAGAGATTCCAAATGTTCTGTTTTCAGTCAGGAACTCTGACCGGCTCCCAGGAGCCTGGCTAGCAATGGAGAGGGTGACAGAAGAGTTGAGGGGTTGGAGTCACATTCAAAGGAGGAACGGGGGTCAGTCAAAAGGAACATGAGCACTGCCTTCTGGCAGTCAGAGACCCCTGAGAACAGATGATTTATCCCATGGGATGGCCAAGACTAGAAGGGTGTCCACAGATGGGGCATCTGAGAGCAGCTCAGAGGAAACAAAACTTGAGGTTGAAGCTGCTCACAAAGGAACAAGTGTTTCCTGGCCTTGCCTATGTTCCAGTTCAGAGACTACAGCTGGGAGGTCACTTAGATCCTGCCTTACATGGGGGGGGGCGGGGGGGCTGAGTTGAATATTCCATCACTTCCCTCTCAAGCTCTAAGATGCTACAGGCTCAGACCAAGATCCCCAAAGAGAGGCTGTCCATGGCATAGATACCTGGTGCCCTGGCATGGCCCACCTGAGGTCTAGTCATTTCAAGGTCCATGAAGGATGAGGCTGGGAATCTGTGTCCCAAGGCAGGATACTTTTTCTGAGGCTGGTCCCTTGGCCATCTGCACCATCAGATTAGCCACAAACCTTATAACTATACATCCTAGCTGGGATATATTGGTCAAGTTTCATGATTTCTCTATGATGCAGTGTCTTACCCTGTGAAATAGAAATAATGGCTTCCATCTCGGTGGGTTGTTTTGAACAGACACAACAGAGATTAGAAAGCACTTGGAATGTGCCAAATGCTAGCCAGGGAAGTGTTAGTTATCTCCTTCCTTTTCTATTCCGAAGGAATTGCGGGGGGGGGGGGGCTTCCCAACACCCCGGAGTGACTCTTCTCAGTGAAAAACTGCCTGAGAATCTTCTTGACCCATATATCACCCTGAGAGGACCATAGGCAGTGTCTGTCAGGTAGAAAAACAGAGAGACTAACCAAGCTGTAACTCTCTTTTCTTAGTCCTTAGGTGGACATATTATAAGCCGGCATTGCTATTCAGACCTGAATCCTATTCTTTCTGTGGGCAACACTGCCCTCAATCTGTTATCAGAAGGTAAGCTACATTTTGAGCACCTCTTAAAGAGTTTTTGTCCTTTTTATTTTTAAATTTTCTTAAGGAACTGCTTTAAATTGTAGCCTGGGCACTGACTTTCAATTCACCATGGGGAGCTCCCATCATAGGTAAGGCACATTGTAGCAATGGTCAGTGGTGCTTCCTCCTGGCAACACACACACACACACACACACACACACACACACACGCACGCACGCACGCACGCACGCATGCACGCACACATAAGCACACAACCCAGGACCACATGCTCAAAGCTAATGTACTAGTTCACATGTTCTTGCTTGACCAGGGGTGATGTGCAGAGGCTGACATAAGAGAGTCTGCAGGGAGCTAGGGAGACAGCTCAGCAGTTAAGAGCACATACTGCTCTTAAAGGGGACCTGAGTTCAATTTCCAGAACCCACATTGGGTGCACCTGTAACTCCAGCCCCAGAGGAATCTCTGGCTTCTTTGGGCACCTGCACTCACATGCACAGACCCACACACAGAGACACACAATTAAAAATAATAAAAATAAGCCAGGCATGGTGGTACACACCTTTAATCCCAGCACCCAGGAGGCAGAGAAGATCTCTGTGAGTTCAAGGCCATCCTGGTCTACATAGTGAGTTCCAGGCCAGCTGGGGCTACAGAGAGACCCTGTCTCAAAAAGATCAAAAAAAATTAATAATAATAATAATAATAATAATAATAGGGGCTGGAGAGATGACTCATCAGCTAAGAGCACTAACTGCTCTTCCAGAGGACCTGGGTTTGGTTCCCAGCATCCATATGGAGGCTAACAACCATCCATAATTCCTGTTCCAGGGAATCTGATGCCCTCTTCTGGCCTCTGTAGGCATTATACACATGGGTGCACTTACATACATGCAGGAAACATTACATACACATAAAAATTAAAGATAAAGCCAGGCATGGTGGCACACACCTTTAGTCCCAGCACTCAGGAGGAAGAAGCAGGTGGATCTCTGTGAGATCAAGGCCAGCCTGGTCTACATAGTGAGTTCCAGCCCAGCTGGAGCTGCAGAAGACCCTGTCTCAAAAAGACAAAATAAATAAATAAATAAATAAATAAATAAATAAATAAAAATAAATTTAAATTTAAAACAGAAACAAAAACAAAAGAGTGAGTTTGCAGAGTTCACCTCCCTGTGGCCTAAGGAACTGAGGCTCTCAAATTCGTCCTTTAATCTCCACACCCCCTACCCCCACCAACCCACCCGCCCCCTTTAAGTTACTCTTCTCCTACTCAGGTGCTAGGTAAGAAGCCATCAGTCTGGTGAGGACACCACGGCCCCTCTGGGGAGGGGAAGGCATTGTGACTCATTTTAATTGCTGGCCAAATGGAGCATTTCCTTGAGGCAGCTCTCTGCTAATCCACCTTCCTGTTCCTCTAGTCTTCTATGCACTTAGGCTGTTTTGTGCTGCTCCACAAGTGCTAACACCCCCTTGACAGCAGGCTAAGTACTGACACTTCACACATCTCATCCCCAAGCTGCTGGGTGGCCTCCAGCACATGTCAAATTTCCAAAAAGGGATAGGACGCTAACTTAGCTTGGTCATGCGTCTATAACTGAAAGTGGGTCATTTAATGAAGAAAAATGTCTTTCTCATGGTTCTGGAGGCTAGGAAGTCAAAGGTCAAAGTGATATAATCCAATGACAGCCTTCTTACTGTGCTAGAAGGCAGAAGCATAAGAAAGAGCAAGAGGGAGCCAAATTCATCCTTTTATAACAGCGCCAATCCCACCCCAGGGGTGGAACCTAGTGACCTCATCTAGTGACTCATCTCAGGGCCTTGTTCATATTAGGCGAATCCTCTACACAGCCACACTTCAGCTCAAGGATCTCATCTCTTGATATTGTTACAAAGGCAATTATCTTCGTGAACTAAATCAAGCTTTTTTAATCTTTTATTACATTTATTTATTTCATTTATCGGGAGGGGGTATGTGCATACGCATGCCACAGAGCACATGTGGAGCTCAGAGGAAAAATCTGTGGGAGTCAGGTCTCTCCTTCCACTATGTGGGTCCCAGGGACTGAACTCAGGTCATCAGGCTTGGCAGCAAGTACCTTTGCCTGCTGAGCCATCTCCCCAGTCCTAAATTTTGACAGGATCTAGCATTCAAACCTTAACAAATGCAGATTTCTGTCTGTTTTCCTATTTATTGAGTATACTTCACCTTCCCACGAGGCTACCCTGTCCTGTCCCCAGGGCTTCCAGCTCTGAAATACCCTCTGCTTCCTGACAGCGTGAGAACCCATCCAAAACCAGCTTCCTCTGTCCCTCCCACTCCTGCAACAGATCCTTGACTCACTGCCACCCCCCAAACACAGGGGTACAGCGGAAACAATCAAAACCTCTGTCTCACAGACTTCCAGGCTGTATCCATCCAGGGATGGCACAGCTCCCTGAGGTGTTTCTGCTGACTTAATCCTGTCACTCACTCTGATAGGTCACATGTGGTAAGGAGAGGCTTAGGAACTGAGGAAAAATGTTCTCTCTACCCCATGACTCAGGCCTTATTCCCCTATTGGCTTTGTGTGAGGCCTACTAGGGCAAAGGAGGGTCAGCATGCTGACTGAGCCAGGCTTCTCACTGAGGACATCGGGCTTACAGTCTGAATGACCCCAGTTCAACCTTCAAGGACCAAAAGAGAAGAAGCCAAGATTCTGGGATACACCAGCATAGTGAGGGTAGCCTGGCCCCTATCCAGAGCCTTCCACTATCATAGTGGTAACAGTGTTCTACTTTCCCAGCTCTGCCAGAGCTCCCTCTGCCCTCCACTACTCCAGAGAAGGTGGTAGCTCAGCTCACCAACCCAGCAGCAAGGCAGGTGGGCAGTGATCAGCAGGGGCTCCTTTGGACTTTCCATCTGTTCACGACTATGCCAGTGTTCCAACTCGCAAGGTGCCGATGATGCCAGAGACAGAACCTTTGTCATCTCTGGGCTACAGTGTGCCCTCTTCATGGCACAGCCTATACTCTGAAAAGTATAAACTAGTGCACTGGAGAGGTGGCTCATCAGTTAAGAACACTGGAACTGACCCAGGTTCAGTTCCTAACACCCACATGGCAGTGTACATAACTCCAGTTCCAGAGGATCCAACACTCTCTTCTGACCTCCACAGGTGTGTGTGCCCTTACATACATGCAGGCGAAGCAGTCATAAACATAAAATAAAAATAGCAAATGAATTTTTTTAAGTACAAACCATGTTTTAAAATCAGGGAACACAGTTCTGGTCCCAAGAGGCCAATAGAGCCCAAAGGAAGCTTGGTAAACTGTTCCCTTTGCTTTAAAGGTGCATCAGCCTTGGGAAGTTGAAACCACAGTTAAGTAGAAAAAATAAATCCAGCTGGGCGTGGTGGTGCACTTTAGTCCCAGCACTCAGGAGGCAGAGGCAGGCAGATCTCTGTGAGTTCAAGGCTAGCCTGGTCTACATAGTGAGTTCCAGGATAGCTGGGGCAACAAGAAGACCCTGTCTCAAAAAAACATAAATAAATAAATAAAATAAATCCAATGATCTGAACTCTGTTAATAATGAAAGCAAACCTAGCATCAGTTTAGTTATGCCCCAGCTGTGACCCTTACTGTTCAGTGGTTCATTAGTTAGCAAGCCTCTGCTGAAGGATGGAAACCCACAGTGGGGTGCATATAACTTGTGCAATGATAGGACAGATGTCATGAGCAGTAGAAGAAAAGGGGACCCTATGATAGAGTCACAGACTCAGACCTCTGCACCGCTCCGGATGTAGGCCTTCTCCAGGAGCTAACATTTAAAGGTCCAGAATGACCTTTTCTTATGACTGTACAGAAATACCATTTCCTTCCACAGACGATATGAGGCAGATTCCTCTAGATGAACATTTTCTCGCTGGGTTGGCAAGTTCAGACCTGAAGCCAGAAGAGATTTTGGGATCTGTGCACATCCCTCACTCTCAAAAGGTAAGAATCCCACTGTTGGCTTTGAAGATGATTTTCCCCCCTGTCATAATGGGGTCGTCATCTTTAGAAATCAGAAAAATAGATGGAAGGAAAATAACTGTGCCCTGAATACCTATTTCCTGTCCCACTGTAAACTGGATCAACAGCAAGGCCCTGGAACAGCCGTGAGCAAATGGCTCCAGGGTGTGGACTTGGGTTGTTGTTGCAGCTGTGGGGTGTGTCCCGCAGAAGGCTGTGGTCATGCTCCCAAGCTCCCTCCTTTCCATGGTGAAAGAAAGCTCTCTGGCTGTGCATGGAGACTCTCTACCTGACCCACAGGGAGATGGAGTAGTCCAGGTCTTGGCCTCTCCACCTCCATTTCTGCCAGCCCCAACAGCTCATAGGAACACCAGGCCTCCAGATGTTCACTGGCCCAAAATCCCTGGGGTTGGTGTGGCCACCCAGCCAGCTATGGAGGTGGCCTTCTGTCCTCACTCCCTGTTCCTTGTGCCTCTTCCAAAAGCTATGCTTGACTCAAAGAGGACAGACTTTCCAGAGAGAAACAGTCACACACACACACACACACACACACACACACACACACACACACACACACAACCTAAAGCCTGAAGCAGCTTACAGTGGAGGAAATCTTAAGTTACACGTCAGCTATGGATGGTCTTTGTTAGTTTTTTCCTTTGGAATGAAAATTCTGACATGCATTCCCATTCAAAAGTGCATTTGTGTCTGGGAAAAGGCAGCAGACATAAAAACAGGTAGATGAAGCATGAGAGCCTTAAAGGACGCAAAGGGAAAGCAGGGAGGGCTGGGGGCAGCACCAGTACTGGCCTCGGGGGCAGATATCACCCCTGACTGCTGTTCCTAACTCGGCAGCCCTTAGTTCACTGTTGGAACATTACATTCAGCTCCCTTTTGAGTTTCGCCAAATGGAAAAGTGATAGTTTCTACAAATTAATAAATAGGGAAGGTCTCTTTTGAATTTAGAAGCTCCTGTGTTCAGAGGACTCCTCTCTCCTCATGGAGACAAAGCTATCCAAAGACTGGAGGAGATGGTTTCAGAAATGCATCCATCCCCTAAATACCAGACATCTAAATACCAGACAAGGTTTTTCTCCCAGCATGGTTTCCACAGCATCGTCGGCAGAGCTCTCCTGACCTCTGATGTGGAGTGATTCTTGAAGGTGTCCATAGCCTCCACAATGAGCTTTTAGCAAGTTCTCACTCTCAGCAAGAAGGCAGCCAGGGTGTCTCCCATTAATGCAACTTCCCTCTACATCCCATTACACAAGTCTAAGTGATCGATTATCGGCACCACGAAGGAAACCATGCTCTCAGTTATGTATGACATATCCGATAACCCCATATGGTTTCTGTCTCCACAGTGGGAGTTTGTGTCTGCCTTCCGACAGGCCCAGTGCCATCAAAATGCCTTGCCTGATGTGAGTGCTGGCATGAGGGTACTGTTCAAAAAAGGCACAGACACGATTGAGGAACTGAGCATCGCCTATGGAGGGGTGGGGCCTGCTACCATCAGTGCACACATAGCCTGCCAGCAGCTCCTCGGCAGGTAAGCCATAAGCCTTGCTTTGAAGGTGAACCTTGATGATGAGAAAAACAAGTTGGCTCAGACAACTGTTGACAAAGCCCTGGAATGATGGGAACACTTGTAAAATCACCGCTTGTTCTTTCTTTAACTGTGTTGAATGAATTAAACATTGCTTGGCTTCAACTAGTTGGATGCCACTTTTCGGGTGAGGAACACAACAAAAATGGCCCAGTGCTGAATTTACACAGCAGATATTTCCCCACCCAACCCTTGTTCTCCTGCAAAGCAGCATGCAGCAGATCCCCTCCAAACAGCTTCTAAGCAGTACCTAATGCTCCTACAGCAGGGAGTACTTCATTTCTTCCTGAGTAAAGGCAGTAGCCAAGGTTAAGTTCTGATAGAGTTTAAAATTTTCTAGAATGCTCTAGAATATTCTGCCTTTGAAACATGCTTGATTTATATTACAATGGAAAAGGTCCCATTTTTTTCCCTGCCATGACCCTTGCACCATCTGGAACAGCCTCTTCAGGCTTTGATTTTCCAGAGAACCCTGGTATGGTGATTTCTAAGGAAAACTCTGGGGTCTCCAAAATGTCACTTTCCAATAGCTAGTGTATGGCATGCAATCAGACTGTCCTCTAACTGGTTCTTCCTGCCTCCAACCCTACCAGACGCTGGAATGAGCTCATGCTGGACGAGGCTTGTAGGTGGCTTCTAGATGAAGTCTCCCTCTCCGGCTCAGCTCCAGGGGGCAAGGTGGAGTTCAAGAGGACTCTACTAGTCAGCTTCCTCTTCAAGTTCTACCTGGAGGTTTTGCAGAAATTGAAAGCACAAGTAAAACTGCCCTTGGTGCCTACCGTAAGTACATTGGTGGGTGGGTAACAACTACTCTAACCACACATTGAAATCTCAGTGCTCTGGAAACTAGAAGTCCTTGATCAAGGAAGCAAGGTACAATGACTTGCTTCTGTAATCCCAACACTCAGGAGGCTAAGGAAGGGAGTTCAAAGTGAGTTCAAGGCCAGTCTGAACTACAGACTAAGACACCCTGTCTCAAAATAATAAAATAAGCTGGGCATGGTGGTGGTGCATGCCTTTAGTCCCAGCACTTGGGAGACAAACGCAGGCAGATCTCTGTGAGTTCAAGGCCAGCCTGGTCTACATAGTGCATTCTAGGCCAGCTGGGGCTACGGGGAGACCCTGTCTATAAACAAACAAACAAATAAATAAATAAATAATAAAGGTGTCATTACAGTTAGTTCCTCTTGAGGACTGTGAAAAGAATCTATTACATAGCTTTTGCCTAGCCTGTGGTAGCTTGCTAGCAATCATTAGGGTTCTTTACCTTGTAAATATCACTCTGATGTCTGCTGTCATATGACTATGTCCAAATGTCCCCTTCTTAAAAGGACACCAGTCGGGGCTAGAGAGATGGCTCAGCAGTTAAGAACACTGAGTGCTCTTGCAGAGGACCTGGGTTCAATTCCCAGCACCCACATGGTGGCTAGGAACGGTCCTTAACTCCAGTTCCAGGGGAATCCAAAGCCCTCTTCTGACCTCCGTAACATTGCACAACACAGGTGCACTCACTTATATGCAGGCAATATACTCATACACATAAAATAAAAATAATAAATAAAAAATATAAAAGGACACCAGTCATAATTATGGCTAATTTATGAGCTCTTTTAAATAATTTTAAAGCATTTTATTTATTTTTATTTTATGTGTACAAGTATATTGCCTGCATGTGTGTGAGTGCACCCATGTCGTGCAATGCCACCGAGGTCAGAAGAGGGCTTCGGATTCCCCTAGAACTGGAGTTAAGGACCGTTCTTAGCCACCACGTGGGTGCTAGGAATTGAACCTGAGTCCTCTGCAAGAGCAATCAGTGCTCTTAACAGCTGAGCCATCTCTCCAGCCCCATGACCTCTTTTAACTTCATTGCCTCTGGAGTAAACATCCTACCTTTCTTAGATAAGGTCACATTCTGAGCTGCTGGAGGTTAGGACTTCAACATATGAATTGGGGAGGATACAATTCAACATCTGGCTGTATCAACTCCTTGCAACCACAAGCTCCTAGCTTTCCCATGGCTTTTGCAAACTGCTTTGTGGGCAGCCTGTGCTATTACCTGTCCTCTGTTCTGGGCTAGGTTTTGTCAATCCCCAGCCGGGGTCCTAGGATTCAGCCCTGCAGGGCTACATGAGGCTCTGGATGTCCTCTGAGCACTAAAATGTTACGGTGTCTCTGTCTCTACTGTATGATTTTTTTTCTTTAAAAATAAACTTTATTGAAGTATAATTTACAGTAAAACAATGGATAATAAATTTATAATTAAAAGTACCTGTTTAAATTCTGTACACTTTGACAAATATATACTCAAACTAAACATAGAGCATTTCCATCACCCCAAAGAGTACCCTCCCCCTACTTATGTAACCATCCCACCCCTGCCCAGGCAAACACTGATCTGCTTTGTGGTACTCAGATTCATTTTTCTTTGTCTAGAATTTTGTAATCAATATGAAATGTGAAGTAGAATTTTATCTACTACCGAATTTCAGTGACTCAGATGAAGAATTGCCACTTAAGTTTCTCAGTCTAGACACTTGGTGTCCTTCAGTGACACCCAGAGCAACCTTCCTTCACAGAAAAAGCTGAAATCTTGGAAAAAGAAAAAAAAAATTCAAGCCCCGTTTGTGGACTCTGGGCTCCAGTTTATTCTGTGATGGCTTACCAGACAATAGTTTCTTCCCTAGCACACACACACACACACACACACACACACACACACACCCCGACTCCACTCACTGGCCGGGACTTGAGGATCAGATTCAAACCAGTCAATCCAGGCCCTCACTTTGGAAGGGAGGATGGGGGAGTATCATAAAAAGTGGAACTCTGGTAAGTAGCATGGCCTTTGACCATGCTGATCACCCTTCATGCATTAGTGGAGCCATTTCCACATAAACCCAAGCCCAGCTTGATGTAGACTAATCAGCTTCTCTCTTTGTGCTGAGTTATTCCAGGACAACCGGAGTTATCCAGAGATTGCAGACCGGTTCCTAAGTGCTCTGGAAGATTTCCAGGTCACATTACCCCAGGGACTCCAAATGTACCAGGTCAGTGAGTATGAGTTCACTGAAACCTAGACACAGAGAGACAAGCTAGATCATGTGTGAACTGAGCAAGCAGTTCAGAGGGGTGATTTTTAGTTCTGATTTTCTAGTTGTTTCTAGTCCAAATCAGGGAGACCTCTGAAACCCAAGGTCAAGCCTGAGCTGCCACTGGAGGAATACAGACTAATAACCAAGGTCACCTCAAACTGATATTCCTTGGGCATTTGTGAGCTCAAAGGTTAATCTTCTAGCCAAAATTACAGATATTCAGTCTCCAGTCAGTGAACAAAAGGCCTACAGGTGACTGAGCTCACTCTTCTAGAAGGAAGATTTAGAAATTAGCTGCTCTTGTTGTGCACAGCTCCCCCACTACACACACACACACACACACACACACACACACACACACACACACACACATGCCCCTTCTCAGAGAAGAATTCCAGAACAAACTTTCTCCATTTCCTTCCACTCCTGGTATGCTTAGACTACTTACAGGGACAGCTAGGATCCCTTAATCTGAATCTAGATAATTCCATTCCCACACCCCTCACCACCACCAGAGACACCACCCCCCTCATTAACATTCAGGCTACTTACTTAGATTTTGGTGTCTGGCCATGGCACAGAAGGGGAAAGTAGAGTGTCTTTCACATACTTCACATTTTATCAAAAGACTGGCTTGTCTGAGGCATTGCCACATATCTGAAATGACAATATCCCACTCCAGTTACATCATTAAATTGCTGTGCTAATCATCTGACTTGCTCCAGTGTTTGTTGCCCGAAGGGACTGTCCTGTTGCTCCATCCCAAGTCAGGAGTGCTGTTGATTAGCCAGGCCATTTGAGTTGAAAGGTTTCTAGGCCAACTCTTGTTTTCCTCTGTAGAGAGTGGATTCTCACCAGCCTCCCCGAGATGCAGTTGGACGTCCCATCATGCACCTATCAGGTCTTAAACACGCTACAGGGGAAGCCATATTTTGTGATGACATTCCCAGGGTGGATAAAGAACTTTTTATGGCTTTGGTGACCAGCACCAGGGCTCATGCAAAAATCATGTAAGTAAAGCAAAAGCTTTCAAAAGCCTTTTAAAGGCTTGCCTGGGGATTGCCTCATAGGAATGTACCCTCTTCTGCAATGTCCCAAACCAAAGAGCCTACAAAGAAAAGAAAAAAGAAAAGGGGCTGGAGCAATGGTTCAGCAGTTAAGAGCACTGGCTGCTCTTGCAGAGGACCTGGGTTCCCAGCACCTACATGGCAGCTAACAACCACTCATAACTCCAGTTCCAGAGCTTTCCACGGGCAGTGCATACACGCATGGGTACACTTACACACATGCAGGCAATACACTCATACACATAAAATAATAATAAAATATTTTTTTGTAAAAAGAGAAAAAAAAAAAGACCATCATGAAAAAAAAAGTCATAGGGGATGAAGAGAGTTCAGTTGGCAGAGTGCCCAACCGGCATACACAAAGCCTTGGGTTCAAACCCCAGCACACCATAAACCTAGGATGGTGGTACATGACTATAATTCCGGGGCTGGGGAGGCAGAGGCAGGAGGATCAGAAGCTCAAGGTCATCCTCAGTTACCTAGCAAATTCTAGGCCAGCCTGGGCTATATGAGACCCTGTCGCTGAAAAAAGGAAAAAAAAGCATGGATGTGGGCCTTTTGCCTTTTCCATCCACTGCTGCAGCCTCAAGCACGGCTCAGAGACAACTCTGATATTCAACTGATTATGATAAACAATGAAATACCAACTTCATTACTGAATAGGAAATAACCTCTGTCATAAGCTTCCAAAGAAAGCCAGTCACACTGTCCCGCCCTAGGAGCTACAAGTGTTACCTTGTGACCCTACGGGCCTCCTGGACCCTACTCTATGGCAGGTCCATTCTGACTAATCGGGTTGGGTTCATTGTTACGTGTTTTTCTTTTCAGCTATGCTGTATTCTTCCCTCAGGTTTGGGGCCCTCAAAGTTTGCTGATGTCTCTTTCCTAAATATATCTCTCTGTGTGTTCAGCTCAATTGATTCCTCTGAGGTCCTTGAACTACCTGGAGTGGTTGATGTGATAACAGCTGAAGATATTCAAGGCACCAATAACACTGAGGATGAGAAATTGTTGGCTTTAGATGAGGTATGATGGGACATACTTTCCCAAATGACTGTGCAGATAACTACCCAGAGACCACCGTCACCCAGTTGTCCTTGCCTCCTAGCTTTTTCTACCATTGAGAGACAGAAGTGTCAAGCCTATTGGTGCTTCTCTATCCCAATGCCTTGCTTTCCTGGAGTCAGGAAATAACAGAGTAAACAAACTAATAACAGCCCTAATTCAGCCACTATGTGCCCTTGAGTTCATTTACCTTCATCTGAACAGTAAATACAAGGAACTGATCTGTGGAATACTCTAGAAATGTCTAGAAAGGAAAGGGGGGAGAGGAACACAGCCATACCTTCTTAATCTCCCCAGTCCCACCTTCTTTCACACACACTCCATGTTTGGCGTAAAGTTGTCCTGTCTGTCTCTGGCCTTCTAATTCGAATTCAACAATCATTTATGGAACACCTGATTTTAGGGCCAGTATGCTTAGGTTTCTGTTCTAGAGTTTCCACTCACTGCCCTTGGATTCCACCATCTGTTTTTTATTTTTATTTTTTAATCTGAGACATGGTCTCCCTATAACCTTAGTTGGCCTGGAACTCACTATATAGGCCTTGAACTCTCAGAGATCCACATGCCACTGCCTCCCAAGTGCTGGGATTAAAGGTGTGTGCTATTATGCCCAGCCTGGGTTCTACCACCTATAACAGAAGAATGATCGCAGCACACACTTCATTGTGTCATTGTAGGATTTAAATGAGTAAGTATACATAAAGTGCCGAGGACAGAGTTTGACATATGAAACATCTCACTAAATGCTAGCTATTATTGTCACACATGACAGATAAAGGGTCCCACACAGTTCTCCTCCAGCTGCAGAAGAGATAATTGTTCTTTTGGCTGAATCAGCTGAAGAGGCTGGCTGTGGTTTAGGAGCTGTGCTAGTTTATTTGAGCTGCCATAATAAAATTGTGTAAGCCGGGAGACTTAACCAATAGAAATATATTCTCACAGTTCTAGAGCTGAGTCCAAGCCCCATATGGTGTCAGCAGGTCTGACTGCAGCAGATGGCTGCCTTCTCACTGAGTCTTCATTCTGTCTTTTTATGTTCTCTCTTCCTCTTCTTTAAGGTCACCAGTCATATTGCATCAAGGTCCCCCATCCTTATGACCTCTGTAAAACTCCTATCTCCAAATACAATTGCATTGGGGCCAAGACTTCAACATATGAATTGGTGGTCAAGAGGACATAGTTCAGTTCACAACAGAAGCCATACACTTATACTTATGCTTAACCATGACACTATGAAGGGGATGTACATAAACACAGCTCAACAGAGAGTGCAGCTGGTTCAGGTTGCAGCCAATCTCACACCTACTCTGGGACTTACACTTTCTGAATGAAAGGGCCAGTGAGTGAAAGTGTATTATATACATTTGTGTATCCATGGGGCTGGAAAGATGGCTCAGCAGTTAAGAGCACCGACTGCTCTTGCAGAGTACCCGGATTCGATTCCCAGCACCCACATGGTGGCTATGAACTGTCCTTAACTCCAGTTCCAGGGGAATCCAAATCCCTCTTCTAACCTCCACAGCATTGCACGACACGGGTGCACTCACATACATGCAGGCAATACACTCATACACATTAAATAAATAAATAAATAAATAAATAAATAAATAAATAATAACTATTAAAATAATAAATATATTTGTGTATGTGTTTGATGCTGCAAATCAAGCCCAGGGGTCTTTCAAGCACTGTACCACTGAGCTACACCCCCAGTCCTTCATTATTGTTTTAATTTTACTGAAGCACATGTGGTTGAATATGATTCCAAAGCAGTTATTACTGTTTAATAATTACATCTAAGACTCGGACCGCTAGTAGGCTAAGCTTGGCCTCTGTTTATTTATTTATTATTACTATGGTATGTGAGAGACAGAGTTGTGGGAGAGGTGCACATGCCAGGTTGTATATGTGGCGGTCAGAGGACAGTTTTGTGGAGCTGGTTCTTTTCATCCACTGTTATGTGGGCTCTGAAAATTAAACTTGGGTCTCGAAGCTTGCATAACAAAAACATCCACCAGCTGAGCCATCTTCTTAGCCCTCTGTCCGCTGTACCCCCACAGGTGCTTTGTGTAGGCCAGGTCATCTGTGCTGTGGTTGCAGAAACTGATGTCCAGGCAAAACGAGCAACTGGAAAAATAAAAATCACCTATGAGGATCTGAAGCCTGTAATTTTTACCATTGAGGTAAGTGGGGCTGGTCAGTCCCCCTGAGGTTGTAAAGTCAAAAACATCTTTGTTAATGTCTTAATATTAGCAAGACTGATTTAGCAATCTCATTTTTTTTTTCTTGGCACTTGCTTAACTCTGGAAAAATCAACTTTCTCTGAAAAATATTACTAGTATGAGCCGAAGTTATCTTTAGCTCCAAGAAACAGAAAAAAAATAAGGAGAATGGAAGTTTTTCTCTCACATTTAAAAAGCCAACACTTAAGTAGCCAGGCCTAGCGGCACAGCTTTGTGCTTCCAGCTATGTGGCATGTTGAGGCAGAAGGACTAGAGGTTCCAGGCCTGCCTGGGCTATGCAGAGAGAGAGTTCAAGGGCAACTTAATGAGATCCTGTCTCAAAATAAAAAGTAGGAAGAGGCATGGAGACGTAGCTCAGTGAGCCCAGTGGTAGACTGCCTAGCATGTATGAGGCCCTAGGTTAGATTCCCTGTATCAACGAGAGACAGAGACAGAGAGACAGAGAAAAACAGAAACAGAGACAAAGAGGTCAGTTCAAGGCTTTTATGGTATGCTAGCCTGTTTGTATCTGTTCATATGGCTCATATGGTATGCTTTGTATTGCTATAACAGAATTCCTGAGTCTGGATAATTTATAATGAACAAAAATTTATTTTTCATGGTTCTGGTGTCTGCAAAGTTCAAACTGCAGGACTGCCTAGGATGCTACATGATTCCAGAAGATGGAAGGGCAAGAGAATATGAGAGAGAAACTTTCATAACAAGCTCATTCTCTCTTGATAACGAACCTATTCTATCATGATAATTATAATAACTCATCCATGAGAGCAGAGCCACCATGACCTACTACCTCTTAAAGGCCCCACCTCTTGTTCTTAATGTCCATTCTCATCATCTTCCTCAAGTAGGAAGATCCCAGGTTTTTATGGCTACGTGGCCGTCTGGAATAGAATCTGTCCTTGCAGTTAGACATGGCAGGTGTCTTTCTATGTAGCACTGGCTCAGGACCCTGCCGTGCCTAACTGCAAGGACAGATTCTATTCCAGACGGCCACGTAGGCACCAAAATCTTGGGATCTTCTTTCTTGAGGAAGATGATGAGAATGGACATTAAGAACAAGAATATCTTCAAAATAGCCCCAACATAGTGAAAATTTCATGACAGAATTCCACAGAAATTTCCACTCTCATGTCTAGGTATCGGAATTCGAGTTATATTTTCAGAGAAGATAATGGAGTGAAAATAGAAAATTCAGGTGTGGACTAGGGTGTTAATTACCTTTCCATTACTTTACCAAATACCTGAGATCATCGCCTTATAGGGAGGGAAGGTTTCTTTTGGCTCACAGGTTTAGAGGTTGGCTTCATTGCTTTGCCAGATAATACATCATAGTGATCTCACACAGTTGAGCAAAAATGCTACTTTATGTCTGGGACAGGAAAAAGAGAAGGAGGAAAAGATCAGATGTCGCAATCCACTTTGAGAGCATACCCCCAATAACCTAAAACCTTCCAGTCATCCTCACCTGTTAAGATTTCCACCCATCTCCACACTGAAGACCAGGTCAAGAGGGGTGCCAAGCTTGGGCTAAGCCTCTGATTCATGAGTGTTTGGAACAGTGCAGATCCAAACTACAGCAATATGGATTTGCAGCTTCTAACTCAATGAGAGATAGGTTCAGAGAAATCAGACTCAGAAAAAGCCAACTTATTTCTGGGCTTGTAACAGAACCACAGCAAGTATGCAAAGACCCTGGTGAGCCATTGGGACAGCTTTAGAAGTGACTGAGAAGTACAAATCATTCAGTGGCAGAAGAACATTAAGAAACCATGGTTCTTGATCTTTCTAGACCAAATCAACTCTGCTCCAGTTCCCGTTTGCCAAATTCCAAGGAACTCAGGCTTTCTTGGATTACTCTCCTTTCTTGGGTCATGCTAGGGTACTAACATATGTTTTTCAAATTTCAATTTGAGGTCTATTTTCCTCAGGGCCAATGGCAGCCCCCAAGGACATCCCCTTGACCTATTCTGGGAATCCCAGTGTTTAAAGATCTAGAGCTCTTTAAGAAGACTATTTAGAGTCAATAAATAATTCTTTGATGAAAATCAGGAGACAAAAGCCAGGCGTGGTGGCACATGCCTTTTATCCCAGCACTCTGGAGGCACAGACAGAGGGATCTCTGTGAGTTTGAGGCTAGCCTGGTCTACACAGCTGGGGCTACAGGGAGACCCTGTCTCAAAAATATCAAAAAAAAAAAGAAAATCAAGAGACAAAAGTCATATATACCAATACTGATTAAACTACCTATTTGTTCATTAATCTATTCATATGGATATTCATATAAATGTTATACATTATGTATGTTGTAGATGATATATGTGTGTCATATAAATAACTATTATATATAAATATATCTATGTGAGAGGCAGGTACTAGAAACCAACTGCCAAATCTGAATTACAGCTATGTCCCTTACTACCTCAGTGACCTTAGGTAAGGAATGAACATCTGTGTACACAGTTTACTCATCTGCAAAGGGAGGGAGGTCAGTAATAATATGAATGTCATAAAAGTAAATGAGTTAATATGTATAAAACACTTAGAACGGTGTCTAACTCATAGTTCTTGCTAAATATTACACATCTTATCAGAAGATTGTATGTCTTCTGACACACAATATTGCGATATGCATTTTTCCATATGCACCACTGTGACTTATTGAGGTCTAGCATAGCATGAAATAAAATTTTCAGTTACAGGGAGATTTTCTTCTTCTTAAGAAACCAGGTAGCTTTCATTTGAAAAGATGAGTTTTTGTTTTGTTTCCAGAGCTGGAGATTGAACCCAGGGTCTTGTACATGCTAGGCAAGTTCTCTGGGACAGTTACTTCCCCTGTCCTAGGCAAGAAGTTCCTGAAAACTAAGTCTGTGTTCACATGTTGCCTCCATCACATATTTTCTCCTCTCTAAGTCCAGTTTCTTTATCTTCAATATAGAGGTAACAATAGAATTAATGCAAAAATATATAAATACACTGTTACTATATACTGTTTGCTACAAAGCAAGAACTCAATAAATACTAGCTGTTCTTGCTATCACCATTAACAAGCAAAGCTGTGACTCTAAGGCCTTCACACATATTAGCTCATTTACTTTTATGATGACCTGATGAGGTTCATCTTATTACTACCCCCCTTCTATAGGTGGAGTTCAAGAATACAGGAGACAGGTGTCATTCTAAAATGTAGGGCTGGAGAGATGGCTGAAAAGCACCAGTTGCTCTTGCAAAGGACCTGGGATTGATTCCCAGAACCCACATGGTGGCTAACAACCATCCATACCTCCAGTTTCAGGGGAATCCAATGCCCTCTCTGACTTCAAGGGCATTGAACAAAATGGGTGCACTAACACACATGCAGGCAATACACTCATACACGTAAAATAAAAATAATAAATAAAGGGGGCCAGAGAGATGGCTCAGCAGTTAAGAGCACTGACTGCTCTTGCAGAGGACCCAAGTTCAATTCCTAGCACCCACATGGCAGCTAACAACCATCTGTAACACCAGTTCCAGGAGATCTGATGCTCTTCTCTGACCTACACTGAGATTGCACAACATGGGTATACCTACCTACATGCAGGCAATACACTCATACACATAAAATAAAATAATAAAATATTTTTTAAAAATAATAATTTTTTTGTCTTTTTGAGACAGGGTCTCCTTGTAGCCCCAGCTGTCCTAGAACTATGTAGACCAGGCTGGCCTCAAACTCATAAAGATCTGCCTGCCTCTGCCTCCCAAGTGCTGGGATTAAAGGCATGTGCCACCACACCCAGCAATAAAATAATTTTTAAGAAATAAAAATAAAATAAAATGTGGGGAGACACCTTGGATCTACAGGATCAGCAGGCACCAGTTGTGGTAGGTCAGTTCACAGAACTAAAGAATGGAATGATGGAATGCCTTCCAGTCTTTATGTGCAAGTCAGAAAACGGAGAGAGAGAGAGAGAGAGAGAGAGAGAGAGAGAGAGAGAGAGAGACTTTTCAAATATGCAAAATATCCAAAAGAATGAAAGTATTTATGGGCCTTCATGCCTCAGCTGGATGTGAAGACCTCTATCCTCTGCCTCAACACAGCCTCAGCCTTTTCAGAGTCCTAAGTGCAAGAAAGGCAGATGCACATGAACTACCTAAATATCTAGCACACATGTTTCTCCTCAGGAAGAAGGCCCTTGCTTTTCCCACAGTACATTAGCACTTACCACCTGTTCCCTAGAGAGCCATGCTGAAAATGAGAACTCAACATCTCTCATCCACTGTGCCCAGGCCTCAGGGCTGAACACGGCTTCCTTCTTGAAGTTTTTGTAGTCCTTCTGGTTGGTGTTCTCTGAAAATGTAGAAGACATTCCCTCTGATATCTTGTCTACTCTAGAGCTCTTGATTGCTTGACACTTTTTGTATGTCCCTGGAGGCAGCCATTTGAGGACTATACTAGCAAAATTTTGTGTTTTGCTCCTTTTATATAGGATGCTGTTAAACATAATTCATTCCTGTGTCCTGAAAAAAAGCTTGAGCAAGGAAACATTGAGGAGGCATTTGAAAATGTGGATCAGATTGTTGAAGGTAAGCATTTCAGGAGAGTTAATGGATTCCTTCCTTCCTTATGTTCTGAATTGAACATCAAGGGCATTAGAATTCCCAGGAAGCTCGTCCTCTCAAGTCCTGAGGTTTCCCCAAACTTATGTTTCTTCTCAAAGCGTGTGTGTGCACATATACATTTGTGCATGTGTGTTCGGAGGTGAAAGGTCAAAGTAACAGAATAAGTAGAAGAAAAATTCCTAAGATTTGGTTAGTCAAGGGCAGCGTAAGGAACAGAGCCTGGCACTGTTTCTGAAACAGATGCCCTCAGTTGTCACAAGACAAATGTCCAGTTCCTTGGTCACATCCCACCTGGTTTTGAGTTCTCTAAGACATCAGCTTCCAACCTGCACATACCTCCAGGTGTTTTCCTGTCCTTATCCATAACAGGAGAGGTCCATGTTGGAGGACAGGAACATTTTTACATGGAAACACAAAGAGTGCTCGTTATTCCAAAGACAGAGGACAAAGAACTGGACATCTATGTTTCCACACAGGATCCAGCCCACGTGCAGGTAAGGTCCAATCAGACGCCACCACTACCTTCTTAATTCCATCACGATAGTCAGTCTCCGTAGCACAGGTGGCAGCCACTTTACCTGTAAAAAGTTAGAATCCAAATGTTGGATATCTGTAATACAGCCAAGACCACAGAATCTTTTTTATTTTCCCCTGATCTTGTCAAGTAATAAAAGAATAATGCCTGCTCACTTTTTAAATTTTTATATAGTTTGTTTTACTTATTCTTTGAGAATTGCATGCATGTATACAATGCAAGTTGATCATATCCACCACTCCCTATTGCTCCAGTCCAACTCCTCCCAGATCCCAACATACCCCCTCCTAACTTCATGACCTCTTTTCTTTTATCTACAACCCAGTCAGTCCAATTAATGCTACCTATAGGCACATGGGTGTGGGGTACCCACTGGAGCCTGGGCAACTTACTAGTGGCTACACCCTCAAAGAAAAATGACTCTTCCTCCTCCAGCAGCCATCAACCTCAGCTGGTGGTGGGGCCTCATGAGCCCCTCCCCAGTCTATGCTGGAATGTTGACTGGCTTGATCTTATGCAGGTCTTTCTATGAGTGTATGAGTACAGTCATGTCCAGAAGACATAATTTTTCTTTTGAGACAGAGTCTCCTGTATCCCAAGCTGCCCTGGAACTCACTAAGTGGTCAAGGATGACCTTGAACTTCCGATTCCCCTGCTTCTACCTCCTGAGTGCTGGAATTACAGACACGTACTACCATACCAGGTTTATGAGGTGCTGGGGATCAAACCCAGGGCTTCATGCATGCTAGACAAGAACTCTGAGTTACATCCCCAGTCTAAGTATAATCACTTTAAAATAAAACACTGTTTATTTGTATCAGGCTTTTATGAACTCTGTGATTGGATGGCATCACTAAGTTTTTCCTGTTTATTTTTCTCTAAAATAATCATTATAAATAACTTTCAGAGTTAAGACATCACTTTAGACCACAGTTTTACTTCCCCAGACACAGAATGTTGGATGCTCCAACCACAAACATGTTGCCCTCTTTAGGAGGCTATCAGGAGTTTACTGCTTCCCACCTGTTTGGGTCTTCAGACCCAGGCATTTGACCAGGAGTCTAGCTTCTGATAAGAATTCAGGATCTGGGAGCTCAAGAGATGGCTCAGCAGTTAAGAGCACTGGCTGCTCTTGCAGAGAACCTGAGTTCAATTTCCAGCACCCACATGGTGGCTAACAACTGTCAGTAACTCCGGTTCCAGGGGATCTGTTGCCCTCTTCTGGCCTCTGAGGGAATTTCATGCATGTGGTGCATTTACATACATGCAGACAAAACACTCATAAACATAAATTAAAAATAAAGGAGCAGAGCCCTCAACATGGTTCGAGATTTTTTTTTTTTTTATCCAGAGCTGAGGACCAAACCCAGGGCCTTGCACTTGCTAGGCAAGTGCTCTACCACTGAGCTAAATTCCCAACCCCTCAAGAGTCTATGTTCTTACAGGAGGTAATGGATATGAATGGATTCTACTGTGTTGTTATATTTCAGGAAACAAAATGCTTCATTGTTGGTTTAGTCTTAAGATAAACCTCATTATCTCACTTCTGCAGAAAATGGTGTCTTCTACCTTAAACATCCCTATCAACAGGATCACCTGTCACGTGAAACGAGTGGGTGGAGGTTTTGGAGGAAAGGTGGGAAGGCCAGCTGTGTTTGCAGCAATTGCAGCTGTGGGGGCTGTCAAGTAAGTTTACCTGGGAGCTACAAGTATGGGAGGTGCAGCGCTTGGGCAAATAGTAGCTGGACAGCCTGGCTGCTGTCAGAGCCAGCTGTGGTCCCTGTGCAGTTCAGCTTCCTCTCTGTTTCTTTATAAAATGTAGATAACAGCACCTGTCTTCCTACCATTCTGCCCTTTTTGTTTTTGCAAAAGTAAACACAAGACTTGGAATAAGATAGGCTTTAAATAGAAAAAGTGGGGTTATTTGTTGAATACTTCTAGAACCAGGGCTGCCTGGTTCCTGAGCTCCAGGGAAGGTGACTTTAGGGGTCAGGAAAGATTACTTCCCAAGTGCAGTGCCCCCCAACTTTCTTTGCTGCTTTCAGCCTAGAGCAGGATGCCATGAGAAAAGAAAGGCTCCTCACCCTCTATCTGCTCCAAATGATGTCTGTGAAAAGGTGGTCCCTGGGCTGCTCCCAAGGGAAAGTTTGAGTCTTTGCTGTTCACACCTACCACTCAAGTTTAGTTGGTGCTGGCACTGCGGCTCTGTGTTCATTGTCCATGACTGGATTTGTTATCATTGTTGGAGAAGGGGGAGGGGGAAGAACACAGGAAGAGGAGGAGGAGGACTTATTTATTATTTTGTCATCGCCCCAGTCAGTCTACAAAGTCTCCATGCCCAGCTTCCTTTGACAGCCTCGATATAGCTCAGAGCAAGGTCCTGGAGCACTCTGACACGTGTCTTCATCTGCAGTGACAGGTGGAAAAAAGCAGGGTCTGAATCCCATCTCCAGTTCTTTTCAGAATAACCCTTCTCTGTCATACCCAGCAAGGCTAATCAGCTTTGCACTCTCAGCAGACCTTTAGTTCTCAAGCGTTTCAAGCATGGCTACTCACTGCAATCAAATGGAGCATTGAAATCCCAGTAGAGCGGGCCACTACATCAGTATATTTCAAAACTGGCACGACTCCACTGTGCAGCCAAGTGTGGAACCAGTGCCTTAAGACGTATCCTGCCTCAGCACACCACGGTCATGCCTTAAGTGACCCCCCACCCCAATCTGCTGAAAGCAAGTCACCACATAAATATTTTTTAAAACATATTTTTTTTAAATTTTAAAGAAATGGGCCAGGCGTGGTGGTGCACACCTGGTCTAAATGGCAAATGGCAAGTTCCAGGACAGCTGGGGCTATAGGGAGACCCAATCGCAAAAAGACGGAAAAAAAAAAAAAAAAGAAATGATTGCTCTCTCATCTCTACCAAATCAGGATTAGCAGGTGATAGGCCTGGAAAGTCTGCACTGACACATTTTTCTAGTGGTGTTAATTTGCATCTATCTGTTCACACTCCCTCTTTTGTAACTAGTAGTGGGCATATGCAAAAGGTTCAGTTATTTTGCATATGAAAGTCAAATTTAAAGCCATAGGAACACAACTTTTTGTGTGTGTGTATGAGTGTTATGCCTGCATGTACGTAAGTGCACCCCTGTTGTGCAGTGCCCATGGAGGTCAGAAGAAGGTGTCAGATCTTCTGGAACCTGAGTTACATATGGTACAGATGGTTGTTAGCCATCATGTGGGTGCTGGGATTCAAACCCAGGTCCTCTGCAAGAGCAGTCAGTGCTCTTAACTGCTGAGCCATCTCTCCAGCCCCAGGAATACAATTTAACTGACATGTGACATTAATCCCTTTAGAGAGATGTCCAAACATGGAGTTGCAAACCACAGAGACAATATAAATTTATTCATACACTAATTCATATCAGTGCCTAGGCAAGTTGTATGCTAGTTGATAAATATGTGAGATGAATTAATGATTAAATAAATGGCATAAATGGATGGGAGGGTGGATGGTGTGTGAATGGGTACGTATTGTAGGTAGGTAGGGTGTAGCAGTAGATGGTAAAATATGGAGTTGTATAAATAGGTGGATAGATGGGTAGATGAATAGAGAGACAAGTGGGTGGACAGGTGGGCAGGTTGAATGGAGAATCTAAGATTTGTTTTCTGTAGAACTGGCCATCCCATCCGTCTTGTTCTGGATCGTGAAGATGATATGCTAATAACTGGAGGAAGGCATCCATTATTTGGAAAATATAAAGTGAGTATTAAATGTGAAATTATTAAAATATCTTGTTTTATTTGAGTGGCTTTGTCCTTTCATATTATTTTGATTTTGCTGAATTCTAAAAAATAATCAGCATCTAAAATAGTAAATGAAGATGGTGTGTATTTTGTATACATATGACATTTTATGATGAGCTTTTAATCTAGTGTGTAATTATAAATAAGTGTAATGATGAAAATAAAATTTTAAGTAATGATTAAAAGCCCTGGTTGATGGGACTGGAGAGATAACTCAGAGATTAAGAAGGCTGCCTGCTCTTGCAGAGGACCAGGCTGAGTTCCAGCATTCACATGGCAGCTGACGACCATCCCTAACTCCAGTTCTAGGGGATCCAATACCCTCTTCTGACTTCAACGGGCATTGCATACATGTGGTGCACCTATGTTGATGCAGGCAAAAGAATCATACACATACAATAAAAAATAACAATAATAATAAATAAATAGCCCTGTTTGAGAGCCAGTGGATAAAGTGGCATGCAAGCATAAGAATCAGAGATCAGCTTCCCAGCATCCACATAAAAGCTGCCAGGGTGTGGTCACCTGCCTGTAATTCCAGTCCTCAGGAGGTAGAGATGGGAGATCCCGGGGCAATCTGACTTGCTAGACTAACCAAATTCATGGGTCCACATTCATCAAGAGACCCTAGCTCTATAAATAAAGTATGATCAAGGAAGACACTAGACATCAACTTCTAGCCTCCACATACATACATGCTCACATACCACACACATGCACATGCAAAAAAAGCCCTATTTGAAGGAATAAGGATTTATATTTCTTAATGATTCCTCAAAAACAAAAACCCTGAAAAAAGTTACATTGTTATACTCAAATTTCATGACTTATAAGAATAATATTTCATAATAGAAATGTTTGGAAACAATTTGATCATTTTAACTGTAAAATTTTTTGGTCTTTTTTTGAGACAGGGTCTCCTTGTAGTCCCAGCTGTCCTGGAACTAACTATGTAGACCAGGCTGGCCTCAAACTCACAAAGATCCACCTGCCTCTGCCTCCCAAGTGCTGGGATTAAAGACGTGTACCACCACACCCGGCTGTAAAATTATTTTTATGAAAGTTTCTACCGATGTGAAAGTGTCACAAAATCTTTTGGCTTACAGGAAAAGGAAATCCACTAACTACTGAATTTAAAATTATTCAAATCACATATTTTGATCTTTTATGCAACTATAGTATGAACACTATTACAAATTTTTGCTGGCCATCTACTTGACGATACCGTATTTCAAATTTGTGTTTGAGTTCTTTAGGATAGTTCTGATGTAATTTAAAGTGTATCAAATGTGCTTTCTGGGGCTGGAGAGATGGCTCAGCAATTAAGAACTCGGTTGTTCTTGCAGAAGAGCCAGGTTCAAATCCCAGCACCCACATGCAGCTAACAATGTCCATAACTCCAGTCCCAGGGGATCCGGCAGCCTTTTCTGACCTCCGAGGGCATTGCATGACACAAGTGCACTTACCTACATGCAGGGAATATACACATACACAAAAAATAAAAATAATAAAATTTTAAAAAAATAAAGTGTATCAAATGTGCTTTCTTTAGAAATTGCTTAAGGTATGCACATCTGATTTCCCATCTGATTGTATCATTGCCTTAGATTATTATATTATTATATTGTCTAAATTACTAAACTCAACTTTCCACACCACAGCACAATTGGTATTAACAATTTTTATAATTAGAGACCATTGTTGCCTATTAACCTTTTTTCTTCCTTCAGATGCACAAACATTAATATTCACCACTATTTTTAAAAAATGTTTTATTATTTTTTATTTTATGTGTATGATGTATTGCCTGCATGTAGGTAGGTGCACTCATGTTGTGCATGCCCAAGGAGGTCAGAAGAGAGCATCAGATCCCCTGGAACTAGAGTTACAGCCAGTTGTTAGCTGCCCTGTGGTACTGGTAATTGAACCCAGGTCTTCTGTGAGAGTAGCCAGTGTTCTTAACCACTTAGCCATCTCTCCAGTCCCTTCATGACTATTTTTATTATCTTTAAGAACAAAAACATCACAGGCACACTGCTGGCATGGGTTGTTGCAGTTGCTGTTGGATGAGTTGATAAATTCTTTGGTTTGGGATTATAGATTAGACTTTATAGCAACAATTGTGAGACTGTCTCAGTAAACTCAATAAGAAGGTTCTAGGTTGTTAGAATTTTGGTAATTGTCATAATATAAAATATAACTAAAAGGAAATAAGCTTTCAGAAAATCTCAACCTAATTTAAAAATATAGGGGCTCAAGAGATGGCTCAGTGTTTGAGAACCCTTACTGCTTTTGTGGAGGATTGGAGTTCAGTTCCCAGCACCCACAATGGGCAGCTCACAGCTGCCTGTAACTTTAGTTCCAGGGGATCTGATGCCTTCTTCTGGCTGCCATAGACACTACATACAATTAAACAGGAACACTCACATACACATGAATAAAATTTTAAATATATATAATTTCACTTCCAATATATGTATATATAACATGCGTTATAACATATAAACATATATCCTCACTCAAACATACTAACAAGGTTTTGGTTAGTTATCTAGAACTAGTTACAAATTACCATAAAGGATAATCATGTGTGTATTCATTACTTTTCAAGTCACTATGACCAAAGGCTTGACCAAATCAATTTAAGGGTATAAGGTTTTATTTTGGTTCCTGGTCTAGAGAGTAGAATCCATAAGGAGGAAGAAGGCATGAGACCTGGGAGCTGGAGTGTGAGGTAGCAGTTCCACATCTTGGTGGATCAGGAAGCAGAGATCTCAGCCAGGAGTAAGCAGGTCCTCAAGGCCTGCCCCTAGTGGCCTACATCAGCTAAGTTTTAGGTCCAAATTTCACAACCTTCCAAAATAGTGTCACCAGCTATAAACCAAGTGTTCAGACACATGAACCTGTGCCTGCATTTCATATTTAAACTCTAACAATGTATAAATAAGTTCTTTCAAAATTCCTGAAAAGTAACCAGCTTAAGAATTTTGTCTTATTTATAATACTATCTGACATAGTGATCCTTCATGAAATGTCAAGGGTAAAGGGGGTAGAATGGTTTATATCTGTAATCCCAGTGCTCAGGAGGCTGAGGCAGAAGGATTGTGAGTTTCAGGCCAGCCTGCATTATATAGTAAAACCCTGTCTCAAAAAAATGTAGTAGCGGCACATGGTGGCACATGCCTTTAGTCCCAGCATCAGGAAGCAGAGGCAGGCAGATCTCTGTAAGTTTAGGGCCACCCTGGTCTATAAAACAAGTTCCAGGACAGCTGGGGTTATAGGGAGACCCTGTCTCAAAAAAAAAAAAAAAAAAAAAAAACAGCAAAAATTCAAAAGTAAACTTCAGTCTAGAACTGTCAAAGTTACCATAAATTTTGAGCCTGTGGATTTTCCTACACTTCCTAATGTCTGTGATTAGTCAATATTTGCCTTGCAGTAGATGAGAAAACAAGAAAGTTGCACAATTCCTTCAGCTCTTTTTGCTCTTGTTTTTAGAAAGGCCAAGGAACCAGGGCCAATCCTTTTGTGATAGAACCACAGGGTGGAAATGTTTTACTTTAATCCGCGTTGTGTAGACAGGGCAGAAGGGAAAAGGCAACACTGGAAATCCACGAGCTGCCTTCAGCCCCTCCCAGTGAGGACAGCGCTGGCTCACATTCATTAGACCCTGTAACCATTTACAAAACACCTTGGCTGCCTACTCAGATAAGTCCAGCTGTCCCTGTACATATATTCTCCAACTTCTGCTCCCAAGGCTTTCCTGTAACAAGAGACACTGTGATTCATCCTCATGCATTCTGGGATCCCAAAGACTTTCCCACAGGGAGAAAACCACAGACTAAATTAGAAAGAAAGCCAGTAAAAAAAATGACAGAGAATCTTCCAAGAATAAGGAAGATGAGAATGGCAGCTATTTTCTGGGAGACAAGCAAGAACTTGAGAATTCCAATGTTAACTGTGGAGCCAGAAAATTGCCTGTCGAATGGAAAAGACTCAGCGAAACAAGCCACAAAAGACCTTCTCGCACGTACAAACTACAAGGCAATAGCGAGTGTGGTGACACAAGAGCAAAGTGTAGTCAAAGTCTGTCCTGAGTCCTGCTCAGTAAGGGGTCTGGGGGTGACTCCCACTTGACGGGCAAATTTTAAACAAATCAATAAAATGTCCATCATTTGGTGACAGGTGGGATTCATGAACAACGGGAGAATCAAAGCTCTAGACATCAATTGCTACATCAATGGAGGATGCACCCTGGATGACTCAGAGCTGGTATGTGTACCAGAAACTATCTGTGCCCTTGATGGTAAATAGGGCACAAAATTTCTAGGTGAATCTTTACGAAACATAAACATTTCTTCAAGTCATTAAATTCCACAAGAAGTTTGATTTTACATGCCTTTAAAGAAAATGGGGGGGACAGTGATGTCTAATCCATGTGTTTATCTCCTTTTACTTTAGGTAATAGAATTTCTTATACTAAAACTGGAAAATGCGTATAAAATCCGCAACCTCAGATTCCGGGGCCGTGCATGCATGACAAATTTACCGTCCAATACAGCTTTCCGTGGCTTTGGCTTCCCACAAGGAACCCTGGTAACAGAATCCTGCATCACAGCTGTGGCAGCCAAATGTGGGCTTCCACCAGAAATGGTAAGATTGTAGTCAGGGTCATAACCGAGACTGAAAAGGAATCAGAAGAGGGGACAGTTAGCTACCTTGGCTCAAGGAAACACACTAGAAAAACTGCACACAAAAAAACTGACTCAGGATTTAAGAAGAGTTCCTTCCATTCATCCTCCTTCCTCCTTCAGCAACAATTTCTCTATGCTTTTCTTTTCCACATTTATACCAAAATATTACAGTATTCAAAATTCACCTTTAATCCCAACACTCAAGGGGCAGAGGCTAGCAGATCTCTGTGAAATTGAGGCTAGCTTGGTCTACATAGTGAGTTCTAGGCCAGCTGGGGCTACAAGGAGACCTACCTCAAAAAAATGAGAGGAGAGGAGGGAGAGGAGGGAGAGGAGGGAGAGGAGAGAGAGAGAAATTGAAATCACGCTGGAATGAATGTTCCCCTTTTCATCCCTCTTTCCATTGATCAAAGATAGCTATTTGGGTGTTGTGCTGGACAGCTTTAGTGTCAATTTGACACACCTGGATAGAGGGAGATTCAACTGAGGAATTTCCTCCATTGGACTGGCCTGCGGCCATGTCTGTGGGGTATTTTCTTGATTGCTGAATGATGTGGGAGGGCCCAGCCCACTGTGGGTGGTGCCACCCCCAGCAGGTGGGCCTATGTTGTATAAGAAAGCAGGCTGAGCAGGGCCAGGGGAGCAAGCCAGTAAGCAGTGTTCCTCCATGGCCTGTGCTCCAGCTCCTGCCTCCAGGTTCCTGCCCTGAGTTCCTACCTTGGGCTCCCTGATGAACTGTGACCCAGGAGATGTGAGCCAAATAAACCCTTTCCTCCCCGAGTCAGTATTGGTCAGAGTGTTTTGTCACAGCAATGAAGAAACAAACCAGAACAGGTGTCCTCTCCCCTTATTTTCAATGGGTTTTTGTTGTCGTTATTGCTGTTATTAGAAAGGGTCGGGGGGTCGGTTTTTTGTTTTGCAGTTTTGTTTTGAGATGGGTCTCATGTAGCCCAGACTGGCCTTGATCTTGCTGTTTAACTAAGGATGACTTTGAACTTCTGATCTTCTTGCCTCCACCTCCCAAGTGCTGGGATTATAAGCCAGCACCATCTTCATGGTAAGCATAGCAACTGGGAGCAGTTCTTATTCTTTCTCCTTTTCTGTTCTCATCTGTTTATGTTCATGTACACACATATAAACATTGGCATATAATATAAGTACATACAGAGTTACCGACCAAAATGGAGCCATGATATACATATGATTCCGTATCTTCCTTTTTCCACTTGGCAATATGCCAGGGCCATCTTTTCATGTAAGTACAATAATCTTCATTTTTCTTCATGACTTTATGATATGTACATACAATAATTTATCTATCTACTTTACTACTGATGCATTCAGGTTGTTCGTTACCCAGTTTGAGCTGTTAAAATGGTGCTGGGACTAGAAACATGGCTCAGGGGTTAAGAGTACATGTTGTCATCAGGTGTGGTAGCACACACCTTTAATCCCAGCACTCAGATATTTGTGAGTTTGAAGCTAGCCTGGCCTATATAACAAGTCCCAGGCCAGCCAAGGTTACCTAGTGAGACCCTATCTTAAAAGAAAAAAAAAAAAAAGTACTGCTCTTCCAGAGGACCAAAGTTTAGCTCCCAAGTACCCACATCAGGTTGTTAACAACTGCCTGTAACTTCAGCTCCAGGTGATCCTTCACCCTCTTCTGGCCTCCTCAGGCACCTATGTTCACATGCACAAAGCCACACACAGACATATATGCATACACATAATTCAAAAAATAAAATCTTAAAATGGTCTTGCAATAAACATCCTGATACATATGTACCAAGAGTATGTAATATCTTTGCCCTCTTGTGAAGGTCTGTTTATTAAACAAAATTATTAAACAAAATTTCAGAAATGGAATTGCTGGTATAGTTGAAAGTGTTTAAGAGATACTTTCCAAAAAATGTCACTTGAAAATATTAAGCTGTACGATATGCTAGAAAGTGTGTAGGGTGCAAAAGAAGTGGACCAGAGAGGCTGTCTCCAGCACCTGATATAATTGTTGGTAATGGTCTTCTACTCTTCACACACCCCAGTCTACACTTTCCATTTCTACCCTGTTTCACCAGTACAGATCCTCTTCTCCAGCAAGGGTCCTCTGTGCATAGTCTCTTGAACCTCTTTGTCTCTAAGTCCAACAGGGACCTCCAGGTTTTTCATTTGATCAGCAGGGTGCTTCCTCCACACAAAAGAATGCCTAATACTGTCCCAGGAAAATAATGGATTTCCCAAAAGAAGCCACAAAAGTGTCCCACAGGTACAAAGGACAAAGACATTGCATCAGCATGAGGAGAGGGGACGTAAAAAGAATTTCTAGAGAAGATGACACTTGAGATAGATAATCTATGCGAGTGGACAGAGTCCACCTCTCTGTGCCTTAGTTTCCTTGTCTGTAAAATGAAAACATGGTATTTCCTTTCACAGAGTTCCTGAGAACCAAAAGAATTGTTATTAAAATATTCATTTTCAAGGTCTGGAGGCATAACTCGACAAGAGTTCACCCAGCATACTTTTACAAAACTTTTTCCAGCCCCAGCAGCACACATACAAAAAAATTGTTTTTATAAACTAAATAGCATTATTCCAGTGTTGTTGCTGGCAACAACATAGTAATTCTTTTACTGTTATTAGAATAAGTTGAACATAATGAAAACCTTCCAGGCATTTCCAGCAGGCTCTCCTCCGAGTGCTGCAAATTCCTGGGATATAAAACAAACCCTATTCAAATAACGTTTTTAAAATATTTAACCATGTATTCCAAATACAATTGAAAGTCTTGAAGGAGAGCTGCTATTTTTATCACTGCCATGCTGTCCCCTCTAACAGAACAAGTTAGACAATAGATCTTCAGTTATGACAATAGAGCCTGGCTTTAATATGCTTTCTACCAGCGTTCTCTGAACCCTGTAGCTTGACAAAACCCTAAGCCAGTGAGACCACTCAGTAGGTAAAGTCACTTGCTGCCAAGCCCAATGACCTGAGTTTGTTCCCCAGAATCCACATGGTAAGAAGGAAAGAACTGACTCCAGACATGGGCCATGGCATGTGAGCATGCACATGCGCACACACACACACACACACACACACATGCACACACACAATCAATCGATCAATCAATAGAAAGCCCTGTCTCCCCCTCCATCACACTGACATCACACTACTGCTGTCAGAGAAAGAGAGACTCTGATACATTGATGAAGACATTTAAAAAAAAAAAAAAACTTATTTTAACAACAGTACACGCCATTCAAAAAAATAGGAAAATTTTTCCTCCACCACTGAAATTTGTGCTTCAGAGGAAAGGCTTCCCAAGCCTCCAGTTGCCAGTCTGTTTCTATCTCTTCACAAGTATTGATTAGATTTCACACTCGTTTCAGATTAGGGAGAAAAACATGTACAAAACAGTTGATAAAACCATCTACAAACAAGCTTTCAGTCCTGAGACCCTGATAAGATGTTGGAACGAATGTCTGGACAAGTCTTCCTTTCAGAGCAGAAGGATGCAAGTGGAAGAGTTCAATAAGCAGAACTACTGGAAGAAGAGAGGCATTGCTATTATTCCCATGAAGTTTTCAGTCGGCTTTGCTACGACAAGCTATCATCAGGTAAAGCTCACACACAGTGTATGGTAAGTGACCCTCATGTCAGACAGATTCCTGGTCCAATCAGTTTGTGCTCATGTTCAGAGAAACATTTCCCAGAGCACTGGATCCCTCCCTGCTCATAACCTAGGAGAAGTGTCCAGAACTCTCCTGCGTACGTACACAATATAGTAGGAAAAAGGTCACCATGGCAACTGTGATGAAAGCAGGCACTCACCCAAGACTCCACACTATCTGAAACGAACAGGAACCTGCAAGGGCCATTGTGTGTTCTTTCTGCTGAGGAAGGGGTCTCTGCTGGACACCTGCCGCACTCCTTGGAGTGACTGCTAAGTCCAAAGAGAAGCCATTCCCCTGGACCCTGACCCACTTGAAGCCATCTCTCCAGGAATCTATCATCTCTGATGGGGAAAGGAAGAGGGGTCCAGAATTGTTCCAGGTAAACTGACAAGATGGAAAGGCAAGCCATTCACAGGTTGAAGGGAGGAGGAAAAGCAGTGTGCATGTGAATAAAACCCTTAAGTAGTACCAGATCTGGGATGGACAAGTTTTCCCTGAATCCTATGGGTCACACACACACACACACACACACAAATACACCAGCTGCCCTGTAAAAGGAAATCCCTCCTAGGAAACAGCGGTTGCTCTAAATCCTTAGTCAACTGGAGTCAGAAAACCCTGAGAAATCCTTGGCTTGCGATGTACCAGCAGTGTGGCATCAAAGCTCTTGGACCTCTGTGAGCCTCAGCTTCCTTAACCATAAAGTCAGACTAATAATAACATTGTCTTATTGTTGATGAGGTTTTGGTGAGAAAATGAATGTAGAGCACTTGGCAAGGTTCGTGGAGCAATCTGAAAGTCAACCAGGGGAGCCCTAAGCCCCTCCCAGGAGAGCCCAGACACATCTCTCAGGGCTCTTGCTCCTCTGATGGGTAGGATGAAGTGCCTTGGGCTTCTGAATCATATTCCTGCTCAGGTTCAACAGGATCATTCATAAAAAGATGCAAAGTAGTTGTCATGCCCATCAACTGGACTGAATCAATGACAGTGACATAAGGGACCCCAGATAGGCACCTGTGTGGTTTCTGCCACAAAATATTGTACCTTCTTCAAATCACATCTCTAACACCAACTGGATGACTAACAAACTAATTCAATCATTACACTAACTACTTGGAGTTAGCACAGACTCCATAGGTCAAGGGTTAAGTCCCACAGACTGCACCCATTCCTAACACCAGCTATAAATGGGGTACCCAGGCTATTCACACTTTGGCCTAAATGACTAACAACTTCAAGACTTTTCACTATCTCCATGGAGTTTGGTCATTTTCTAGAACAACTCGAAGAACTCAGGAAAGCTTTCTCATTATTACCAGCTTATATAAATGACACAACTCAGAAAGAGCCAAATGAAAGAGATGCTTACAGCAAGATACTGGGGAATGACAGTTTGTCTTCTGGGTGTTCACCCACACAGAACCTCACAGAGCTCAAGAGGGTGAGATGGAGCTGAACACACATACAAGCACACATGTACATGCACACACATGCACACAGCCTGACCCCTTCATCCTAAATTCATCCAGCCACTTCATGAGGCATCTCATTAGAAGGCAAAAGACAGTACGTTTCAAGATTTTGGAAGTTCTGTACCAAGAACCAGAGACAAAGACTATGTGTATAGTTTTTCAGAATTATACCAGGCCTCCTTTCATCTATACAGCCACATCCCTAAACCGCAGCCTCTCCTCTGTCCTCCATGGGAGCCAACTTCTTATCTTCCCACATTAGAAGAAACCTTTAAGTCAGGTGATGACTTTCAGTCTCCACCGGAAAGGCCTCCAACTTCCCAACAGAGCTCTAAAATCAATGCACCAAGAACCACTTGGCTAGGGTAGAAGATACCATTCCAGGTCAGCAGATGACTCACGGAGCTGGAACACCTACTTACTGACAGCGAGAGCCCTGGGTCACAGCAGGCCAGAGACTGCAGTGAGTAGATGCTATTATTAGCACTTACACTCTCAAAGCTCCCCAGCCCCTCCACACCATCCCTGGGCCTGGACTAAGTCTTAATCTCACTTCTTGGGAGGAAAAATACCACCTTTCCATGCATCTAATTTAGCAAAGATTTATGTAATGTGATTTTGATTTGCTCACAGTTATTTCTCTGAGACACCAAGATGCGTAAGACCAGCTGTTCTTCTTGGGGAGACTCAGGGTACAGCTTGTGTCCTCTATATCAGTTTCCTGTGGGGACTACAGCAAAGTACATGCTGGGCATCTCAAACAACTTTATTCTCTCACAGTTCTAGAGGTTGAAAGTTCAAAATCAAGGTATCAGCAAGGCCCTGCCCCTCTGACGCCTCCAGGAGAGAATCCTCTCTTGGCTCTTCCAGGCCCTGCTGACTCCAGTGCTTGTCAGTTTGTGGCAGCTTAACTCCAGTGGCCTGCATCTTCATGAGGCCGTCATCCCTGCTGTCACCCCAGGCCTTCTGATAAGGACACCAGTCACTGAATTCAGGACCCATTCCCATCCAGTCTGGCATCACTTTAGTTAACTACATCTGCAAAAACTATTTCCAAGTAAAGTCACATTCTGAAGTTCCAAGTGAACATGAGCAGGGGAGGGGTAGACCACAGTTCAACTCAGGACTAGTAAGAGGAAGTGCAGAGAATGAGGTGGTGGGTCTTCCCCCGACAGGAATGAAGAACACTGTAGGGAAGTTTTAAGAGAACAGAGCTGTGGGTGTGAGTCTAAATGCTGAACAGACAGGAAAAAACAGGCAGAACAGGCTGAGAAGAGAGAACAGCTAAGCAGGAGCCTAGGTCAAAGAAGAGTTGTAGTGGGGTTGGACCCAGAGGAAAGGCAAGAAGAAACAGGGATATAGCCAGAGGAGCGTAGGAAAGCTTTGGCACAGGTCATCAGCTGCCCCCTGCTGGTGGGAGGGAGATACCTGGCCGGGGGTCTGTGCAGGGCATTGGTGTGACATAATCAGTCTAGGTGAGCACCATGCTACATGCCTACCCCATATCCATGTGAAGATCTGTGCTGTGCATCCTAGCAACAAGAGTATTGGATTGGGAGTCCCAAGGCAAGGTTATCTGCTTGCTTAAGGATGTCAAGCTGGGCTTGTGTCTGGCCAATGGCTGGAACTGGAACGCAGGCCTTCTGACCAAAGGGCTCAACATCTGGAGGTCAAGTTTCTGGATTTGTTGATGCTTAAAATGAAATCTATTAAAAGCAGAAAGCAGATCATAAAAACTCAACAGATTTCTTCCCTCTGCCCTCATTTTGCTGATACATTATTATGTAAGAGTCAGAGTAGCCTGAGCTGAAGCATGGCTAGTTAAATATTCTCTCTATAGTGAGGAGAGGAAGCACACCCTGCCCTGTGCGGTGCAGTCAGATCCTGCCTAATATGCTCACTGGGAATGGCGAGTCGTGAGCTCTCCTGTTAATCCTTCAGGGCTAGTTAAACCTATGCGCACCTGTGTGTGTGTGTGTCTGTGTGTGTGTGTGTGTGTGTGTGTGTGTGTGTGTGTGGAGAGAGAGAGAGAGAGGGAGAGAGAGGGAGAGAGGGGAGAGAGGGGAGAGAGAGGGGAGAGAGGGGAGAGATCCTAGCACAAGGCCTCCATGAGAATAAGGATCAGCTTTCATTTTCAGGCAATGGAGATTTTTCTGCTTCACTCACTGCTCTCCTTCATGACTCCATTCATTGTCACTCTAGGGGACTCTAAACAGCACAGGGGGAGTTGGTTCTGGTCTCCTGGCCCCCTGTATCACACCCTTTCCATCATAGAACATTCTGCCCCACAAGGACTAGATTTCCAGCCTGCCTCCCCACCATATTGTGACTTATTGAAGCAGAACCACATCTTGTTTGTTTTTAATCTATCACCAGCTGAGAAAGTATTTGACTCACTAGCTTCACAATCAGCCAGTAATTTTAGGCAAGGTCCTGACTTTCAAATAATTGAGACCAATACAATTCCTGAGGTATCCCAAGTCACTCTATTTAAAACTAGATTATGAAAGGTTATACAGTGAGGGGGAGAGGATCAAGAGAACACTGAGATGGATTACTAAGGAGTAAGGAATTTATACAAGGGTTATTAACACTGTGGACAGACAGAGAGGCAGCAGCAGGACAGGGGCCCCAAGTAGAGTTCAAGCTCCATCATGGTGGGGTCACTGATGAGAGGGCTCAGAGTCCATGCAGAAGTGGGGTCTGATGGGGGAGGTTCCACAGCACAAGCCTGCAGCCAGGCTCTCTGATTCCCAGATAGGAGGGCAAGGAAGGAGATAGGGAACAGGATGTATGACCAATATCCCCTTTGATGTAATTCACTTCTCGGGTGAGAAATCTGAGCACCAGGAAGCATGCTTGTGGGAACTGAGGTAGCTACTGTGGATAGTGTGGCCTGAGCAGAAGCCAGATTCTAACATTAAAGTCTTACAGCTTCTTAAATAGGAAAGTTCTTTACAGGTAACTTTTTGCATAAATCAGAACTTTATTTCAAGACCCCACTTGAAAACCTTTCCTCTCTGAACCTCCCTGCTTCAGGGACCACTACTTAATTTCTTCTACCAAACTTTACTAAATGTCAGCATGCACTCAGGTGCACCTTCCCGATTGTCTTACAGGCAGCTGCCCTTGTCCACATCTACACAGACGGGTCTGTGTTGGTCACACACGGAGGCAATGAACTGGGACAAGGTATCCATACCAAAATGTTACAGGTAAAATAAATAAAATCAAACCATTAATCTTTATGAACATAGTTGACATAGGGGAAATTATGGAGATCTTTTAGGGTAAAAAAAAAAATGACTGTATATTCAAACTTAAAGACCTTATCTAGTTGAAAGCTTTTTACAGATAAGCTACAATGAGCTCAAATAACACTATGCTAAATATTCCATCAAGGCTAGCTAAGAAGATTTTTTTCAGCTTTTTATTTTGAGACCAGTACTCCTAATGTTTCATTATACACAATAATAAGTTGCTGGTGCCTTATTTTAACATGTAAGGGCAAGTATTTCATCAACTGTTGGCATCCTATAAGTTTTTTTAGTATTGGAGAGCTTTGTGAAAGCTAGGCAAGTGCTCTGTCACTAAGCTATATCCTCAGCTCCTTTTCATTTAAAATTTTTTATTATATTTGTGTGTTTGTGTATACATACATATGCTAGCCTTCCATGACACATGTGGAAGTCAGAGGACAACTTTCAGGAGTCGGTTCTTTCTCCTCGTGCTGGTTCCAGGGATCAAACTCAGGCTTGGCAGCAAATGCCTTCATCTGCTGAGCCATTTAACTGGCTCTGCCTATATAATTTTAAAAGAATATTTTAACGTCTGATCTCAGAAGCAAAAAATAATCCTTTAAAAGTTGAGTTCATTTAACTTTGTGATGGGCGCTAAGCATAGTGGTGCCTTTAATCCCAGCACTTGGGAGACTGAGGCAAGTGGATCTCTGTGAGAGCAAGGCCAACCTGGTCTATATAGAGAGTTCCAGGCCAGCTAGAGCTACAGGGAGACTCTGTCTCAAAAATGAATAAATAAGCTGGGCATGGTGGCGCACACCTTTATGCCCAATACTTGGGAGGCAGAGGCAGGCGGATCTCTGTGAGTTCAAGGCCACCCTGGTCTGTATAGTGAGTTCCAGGGCAGCTGGGGCTACAGAGAGACCCTGTCTCAAAAAAAAAAAAAAGACCGAAATAAATAATAAATAAATAAAGGCTGGGCGTGGTGACACATACCTTTAGTCCCTGCACTTGGGAGACAGAGGCAAGTGGATCTCTGTGATAGCAAGGCCAGCCTGGTCTACATAGTGAGTTCTAGACCAGCTGGGGCTACAGGGAGACCCTGTCTCAAAAAGACCAAATAAATAAATAGATAAACAAATGAATAACTTTATGATGGAGCCCTTAGATTGTTACCACACATCTGTGACTCTTCATGGCCTGGCCCCTTAGCTCCTTTAGAATATTACACCTTCCATGTTGTACATAATTCCAAAGGAGTGCTCAGCTCATGTACCTTTCAACACCATCCCTCCCTCCTTGGTCACATCCCTGCCACAGATAGAGGTTCAAGATCCAGGCCTGACCAACTCTAAATCTCACTGAGGGAAAAAAAGCATATGACTCATGCAAAACCAATCAGCATGCTTTTCTAAAACAGATATGCAAAAGTTGAGAGGAAGGAATCTTTCCCCAGGGACTGCTGGAGGCCAGTTGTCACCATTACTAGCAATTCTATGCTGTGGACAAAACCTGTTGACTGTTGTAAATATCATAGTCATAAAGAAAGAAAAGCAAATGCAAGCTGGGTGTGGTGTCCTACATCTTTAATCCCAACATTCAAGAGGCAGAGACAGGTGGATCTCTGTGAGTTCCAGACCAGCCTGGCCTACATAGTGAGTTCTAGACCACTATGTAGGCCTACAGAAAGACCCTGTCTCAAAAAAAAAATCATGACAGCTGACAAGATGACTTAGTTATACACTGCTGAGGCTGACCACCTGAGTGGTCCCTGAGACCCACATGGTGGAAGGAGAGAACTTACTTCGTCAAGTCATCCTCTGACCTCCACATGTATGCCACATACACACACACAATAAATGGGAATTTGGGGTGAGGTTTTGGGGTTTTTGTTTTTTTTTTTTGGTCTTTTGGAGCAGGGTGTCCCTGTAGCTCCAGCTACACCCAATTTCCTGTGCATACATATGCCTATAGTGTCAAGTTTGTGTCCCCAATTGCCAAGAGTCTTGCCCTCAAATGATATTGACTCTCCCCCTCCCAGCAGCCATTGTTTGCCAATAGTTTCTCAGGCAGGGTTGAGGTTTCCTCCTCATGTCCATGCTGGGATTTTTGTCTGGCTTGAGTTTACATGGGATTTGTACATGCTGTCACTGTGGCAATGAATTTTTATGAGTAACTGACCAGGTGCCTGGAAATCTCTGTTCCCTTATGGTCATCCATCTCCTCTTCCACAATGATCCCCGAGTCTTGAGAGGCAAAAGTTTGATATAGGTGTCCTATTCCAGGATACAAAGTCTGCAACCTCTTATTCTCTGTACATTGACCATGTGGGTTTCTGTAATAATCACTATCTGCTGCATAAGGAAGCTTTTCTGCTTAGAGTTGAGAGATGCATCCATGGGTATAACAATAAGTCATTAGGAGTCAATTTAATACTATATCTATATAACAGAATAACCATATTAGGCTCTCCCCTATGGCCTGTGACCTGTCTAGCCTTGGGTTCCTAGGCCTGCTATCAATGTCAGGTATGGGGTTCATCTTATGAATTGGACCTTAAATCCAATTAGAAAGTGATTGGTTGCTCCCATAATATTCATGCCACTATTGCACCAGTGGGCATATCTTACCAGGCTAATTGTTGTTGTAGCTCACAGCTGGGTAAGGTTGATAATAAATTTTCTCCAGATAGCATGCACAGCACCTTCCAGCACTATGAAAGCTAGCCAGTAGAGATGAGGTTTTGTAGTCAGCATTCAAATTGATTTCTCCTTTTTCCACAGCTCATATATGTAGTGTCTTCAGCAGCAGGGTCTTATCAAGTTCTGGTGGGTAACCAAGAGGAGGGGCAATGGCCTGTATTGTTTGAGGGTCTATGGAATCCCCAATCAATAGCTTCAAAAGACAGGAGTAAAAGGCTAGCTTTTACTTTGTTAGCTTATGGTATCTAGTGGATGTCCCCCCTGTTATAAGGTAACTCCTTTTCATCTCTTTTATAATGTATATACTTTAAGAAACTTCTATAGTGGGAGGTTTCCATATGACTTTTTCTAAAGGCTTTTAGTGTTAGTTATCCCTCCCTATACTCCCTCCTCTGCCCCACCCTCCCAAAAAATTGATTTGAAAATATATTTGGGGGGAGTGGAGAGATGGCTCAGCATTTAAAAGACCTAGCTGTTCTTGCAAAAGACCCAGGTTCGAATCCCAGCACCCACATGGTGGCTAACAACCATCCATAACTCTAGTTCCAGAGGATCTGACACCCTCTTCTGTCCTCTGCAGACATTGCGCGACACAGGTGCACTTGCATACATGCATGCAATACATCCATACACATAAAATAAAAATAAAGCAATTTTTTTTGGTTCTAAAAAAGAAAAAATATATTTTTAAAAGAAAAATCATGAGAAAAAGACTGACATCTTCATAGAAATCCTCACTGAACTTGAAACTATGTCCTTTCCCATAGGTAGCCAGCCATGAATTAAAAATACCCATGTCTTACATGCACATCTGTGAAACAAGCACCGCAACAGTTCCTAATACAATTGCTACAGCAGCATCCATCGGAGCAGATGTCAACGGCAGAGCTGTGCAGGTGACCACTCCACTCTCTTCCCTAGTGAACTTTACCACAGCTCTGGTTTTCTTGGCTAAATACAGGCACAGTGATTGGCTTCAGAGAAATGATCTGTCACTAAACAAAAAGGTTGAGATAACCAAAATGTTGGGGGAATGTGTTAATTGGAGTAAACTAAGGTGACAGACCCAGAACAGAATGCCTCAGCCTCCCAGAGTGCCAGTTTGCAGGTGTGCACCCCCCACCACATACCCAGCTGCATGTTCTATTGAAGTAATACCTGCTGTATTTGTCATGCTTCAATGACAAACACTTTTTCCCCTCGGGCTTTGCAGGGAGGTGTATTTCCCCAGGACACTGCACAGGTGCCACCAAGAACTGCCTTTAAATCAGTCTATGTGAGGACACTTCTAAGGGGGTCAAAAAACAGCAATTTTTTTTTTTGCAAGAATAAATGTGTGGAAAAGCTCAAATTCATGATCTCCCATTTGGGGTGGGCTGTCACACGAGAGGGAGCAGCTTGGAAAATACCAAGTGCCAGCCTGGCTAAGGGTCAGCATATCTTTTAGTTTTAAGATCAGAAACAGTGGATCTAAAGTAAAATTTCTTATTTGCTCACATTAAATCCAAAGCCAAAGTCTTTAAACAGTTTGATAATAGATGGATGAACAGATGGAGAAATGGGCAGAGATTTGAATGTTCAGACATGGAGAGAAACTGGCATGTTATTGTTACAGAGAGGAAAGCACATATTTGAATGAAAAATAAGATATTTATTCCATTTGTTTTAATAGCTAAAAAAATACAAAACAAAGTATAGACCAAAAGCGTAATTAGACAAAGAGAAGGAACTAAAAATCTGGATAGTCTATGAAAGAGGATGTAAGAGTAGAAATTCTGGATGTTCTCACCAGAACTGAACCAAGAAGAGGGAAAACAACTCCTGTAACTGAGACTAACCTAAGGACAGGAGCTGTGTCATCTCTTTGCTCCCAAAGTATCAGGAGCAGGTGCTCAGTAAGCATTTGCTGACCTGTGATCAGTGAACATTCCTTACTACAAATCCTAGCCACAGACTCTCTTTATTCCTTCAAGAATGCTTGCCAGATCCTTCTGAAACGTCTTGAACCCATCATTAAGAAAAATCCAGAAGGCACATGGGAAGACTGGGTAAGTGTTCCTCCTCAATTTGTTACTATGTGTGGGATAATAATCCAAAGCTGTGCTGAGCATCACAGCAGGGAATAGCTACCCCACATAGAAATAGTTTCTCGAAGTCTCTATCCCCAACTTTGGAAAGTTCAGCAGTCACTGGGAGGAGCAAAGGAAGTGTATGAAGAAAATCCAGAAGGCTTCCCACTCTGTTTAAGGAAGAAAGAAAAGACTGAGTCTCCCTAAGCCAGACAAAAATATTGATGCTTTGAGTAGTTGCTATTGAATGTCTCAAAGGAAGTGACTCCCTTAATCCAACTTTACAATATGCTACACATTTTTCATTAGAATCTCTCTTCCTCTCTCTTTCTCTTCCTCTCTTCTCTCTCTCTCTGTCCTAGTTTGTTTCTCCATTGCTGTGACAAAATACTCTGACCACTACCAACTTGGGGAGGAAAGGGTTTATTCAGCTTACATCTCCTGTGTTGCAATTCATCAGGGAGCCCAAGGTAGGAACTCAGGGCAGGAACCTGGAGGCAGGAGCTGGAACACAGGCCATGGAGGAACACTGCTTACTGGCTTGCTCCTCTGGCCCCTGTTCAGCCTGCTTTCTTATGCAACACAGGCCCACCTGCCCAGGATTGGCACCACCCACAGTGGGCCCTCCCATATCACTCAACAATCAAGATGCCCCACAGACATGGCCATAGGCCAGTCCTATGGAGGCAATTCCCCAATTGAGGCTTCCTCAACCCAGGTGTGTCAAGTTGACACTAAAGCTGTCCAGCATGTTCTCTCTCTCTCTCTCTCTCTCTCTCTCTCTCTCCTTTCTCTCTCTCCTTTCTCTCTCTCTCCTTTCTCTCTCTCTCTCCTTTCTCTCTCTCTCTCCTTTCTCTCTCTCTCCTCTCTCTCTCTCTCTCTCTCTCTCTCTCTCTCTCTCTCTCATA